CTCCTTCATTCCGTCTAAAGATAAAAATGAAAAAGAGACACATGCGAAAAGCGCGTTACATATGTAATTGCACAATACGTCTTGACAAATAGCGATAATGCAAAGGAAAAAGACGGATAGAGATATTAAGAGAGAATATTTCGGCAGAATTTCGCGCACACAATATATTGAAAAATTGAATCGAAATAACTATTATAAGAAATATTTAGATTTACGAACTTGAAATACATACTAAGGTTTCTTAAAGCGAATATGTACATATAAAACTAACGACTTAAAGTACGAAATTCGTAACGAGGAACATTAAATTTTCATAAGAATTCTTTTCCGAGAGCGAAAGCGGTTCATTAATCGCTAGAGCTGACATTTCACATCGTTTGCATTTTCGCAAAAAAATAAAAAAAATAAAAAATATAAAAAAACCGCAGTAAGTATCCATTAGACATTCAGTTATGAAAGAATTGTACTAAAAGAAGAAAAAATCTAACTTTATATTTAACCAGAAACGCACATTTAGATTCGTCGATTCCTTTGTTCTACTCGCTTTTTAAATTCGCGCTTGAATTTGCACAAATACGACGGATTTAGTGGGACGTTTTCTTTTCGTAGGTGTGCCATAACTCGATGTTAAAAATCATAATGACAGAATATAATGCCTTTCGGCGGCTCAACATTCGAAAATAAGCATTGTTTAAGCACCAACAAGCGAATATTCACCGAGAAAGAGATACTTAATATCGCTTCTCTGAATGTTGAAGCCAACTATGAATAAGAGAGAAAAAAAGCGAAACAACACACTTTTGTAATCCGCAAGATTTACCGCAAACATTCCCGTAAGGAACGTTGATGTTACTTTCGCGAGAGACGCATTTTAATTGGACCGAGTCCGAGTAAATTTCAAGTAGATAAATTTCAAGCAGGATCTCTCGAAGAGAGAGAGAGAGAGAAGAGAGAGATCGTTTAATCGATTTACGGATTCTCCTTGTAAAAAATGCGTATCTCGCGAACACGCTACTTTGTATTTGTAAGAATATTTCTACGATTTGTCGTGTAACGAGAAGAGAGAGAGAGAGAGAGAGAGAGAGAGAGAGAGAGAGAGAGAGAGAGAGAGAGAGAGAGAAAGAGAAAAGAACGGATCGTACATTCCCATTTAGTCGTAAAACAGATTTTATACATTCGTACGTACATATAATTGTATAATGTTCTTAATAGAAAGAGGATAAGACGCGTGATGCTTTACGGGATCTCGAGCGATCAAAAAAAATCACGTAATAACGACGTGACGTCGGCGATGTTGAGGATTTCGATACTCTTGCTATAATCTTTGTCTCTATATTTCACATATTTTCCCGTCTATTTTATATAAATCAAATCGAGATAATTGAGTTAAAGCACTTGTAAAGTTTCAATCAAGTTTCTCTCGTGAATAAGATCATGTTTATTATACATTGTGAACTGCTTGCATCAATTCTTTCTTTTTTTTTTCTTTCATCTTTAAATGTTGCATCAGTATTAATGATTAGCTGGATTGTCTCTGTCTATCTGTCTATGATATTACTAGAGCTCCTTATAGAACTATAGAAATTGATGCAATCGGAATTTCTTTATTCGCAAATTTCTTGTGTGTATATTTCGTGTGATAAACTCTTCTTAACAGTTTACATTTTTCATGTAACTATCATTTGTTCAGGAACTTAGCGCGAATTATATTATACTGCGACCAATCGAAAGATTCAATGCGATAGTTCAACATTGGATGAATTAAATTTAAAGAATATTTGCTTACTTTTAAACTTACATATCAATGTAAACTTACATTTAACTCTAAAACTTTTTTTTAAGACAAATCTTGATTATCACGAATCATCGAATGTATCAAATCGAGATAACTGAGTTAAAGCACTTGTAAAAATTAATGTTTTTTTTCGAGAATAATGTATATAATATAAATTTGTATTATTTTATAAGTAGTCGAAGAAAAACGAATTGAATCGTTATTACAGCGGATCTTTCGATTGCGGTCTCGTCGTATACATAATGTAACGAGTAAGCAATAGCAAAGAAACGAATATCTAGCGAGTAAGTACTCGAGAAAGTACTCAAAGACGAGCGCAAGATAAACGATTATCAAACTCAGCGTGAAGAGATTCGTCCTTCGCGCAGTAGCAGCAGCAACATCATCATCTCATCATTGTCGTCGTCTTCGTCACCATCACGTCCATATATCGTCTTCGGGCCACGTATCCATCATCGAGCGTCTTCTCTCTCGCGAAGAGCCTAAGGAGGAAGAAGATCACTTTTCTACGATACGTCCGTTAAGGTTTCCGCTTGTCTCTTTTCGCCTGTCTAAGGACGGCGCGACCGACCTTTCCCCATTCCTCCCGTCGAACACAAAAATCCTTACACATTATCGCAGCCTGTGATAAGAATGTAGGCGAATGGACCTTATTTCTTTTTTTTTATTTATGGCATCGGCTGATGTACGAATGTATTATAGTTGTACAGTTGCATCGGGATGATGTGTATTGTAAGCCCCGCTTTCCTTGCGTTTCGCGTCTCGCTCTTCTCTCTTTTCTTATCTTTTTTTTCGTCTATCTCTTCCTTTATAACTCATCACCGTTCTTCGCGAGCTTCGTCCAACTTCGAAAGTCCGTCATTTCCGTAATCTCGGTATACTATGCGAGCATCTCTGAAATATCGGGCGGAATCGTGAAGAAATGTAGGAAAAGTAAAATTTTTAAATTATTTAAAGTTATTAATTAATATTATAGGCATAACAAAATTTTTGTTTGAAAGTACGAAGTAAGATCTCACAGTTTCAGCTGTCTGCGAATCAAAAATATTTATGCTAATTGAATCAGCTTGTTTATATACTAATTTAGCCGCATTTTGCGATATTTTATATTTTGACGTTTCTATAATGAACAAAAACGCAAACATCTATATATAGTATTATATAAATAACATTTTTGTGCATTTTATTATATATATATATATATATATATTAAATTAAATTATTATACACCTATAAATTTGTGAAAATCTTTTTTTTGGTCTTATTTATCTTTTCTGCAAAAACTACATTTCTTCATGGAAATGTAAACTAAACTGACAGTGTGAATGTGTTTGAAGTATGAACTGAGAATACTCAGATTTGATAACGATTAAGTATTAAGTATTAATGATTCAATGCGAACTAATAATGAGATTTGTCAATGAGAAAAATATTGTTAGATAGATATCGCACAACATCATTTTCCTAATCAATCTCTTTTTCCAATCAGTTGGAAAAAGGATTGAAATTGGATCGAAAGTTTTGTAAGAATCTTTGATATAAATGTGAATTGAAATATTTTATACGTAAAAATAATATTTAATTTAATTGTACGAGATATAAGTGTATCGAGAGAAAAAATAATTAACAAATACGCGACCAAGATATATAAAATTAATTTCTACTTTACTAAAATCTGTAAATATCTTCAAGTTTTCGAGATTGAAGATCTCGAATTTCAGGTCTGTTCCTTACATCTGCATTTTGCATACTTCTTCTCTCTTTCTTCTCTTCTTCTTTAATGAATATATATATATATATATTTATTTCGTTTCAAATGCAAATTGTAAAAGACAATATAATGCAGATGAAAAGGACAGATTTACACACGCAGTTTCTTAAAGTTGAGAACTTAATGTTTATCGCCGATTTAATTAAAAAACTGTCTATCTTATAAAATAAAAGAACAAAATATCAGTGTTGCTCGCAAAGTATCGGAGCTAATACATCTGAATCGCCAGCTACATTGAAATTCACCGATTTTTCCCTTAATTTGGAATTTCTAATCCCTACTCTCCTTCGTCCTTCACTACCCTTCCTCTCACTTCCATCCCTTTCTACCCTCCCTTCACAAATGCGTTTTCATCTTTCCTAAATTACGCGTTTATGAATGTCGTCATTTATATACATGTAACGATTTTTGTAAATAATCAATATACATATATAAATATAATTATATATATATAAATATATATATAAATTATATATATATGAAAACACGAAACGTGTAAATGGACGGAACCTGTCTTTGTTGTATCGATAGTCTTATATCAGACTTGTATATGAACGGAGAGGGACTTTTGATTATTAAAAGTTTCCTAGAGTAAAAAAAAAATGACGAGTTTTCTCTTCAGCCACGACATTATTATATATATAATTATTACTATCACAATATTACAAGATTTCAAAATATTTATATTCTAATATTGGAAATGTAATTGCTTATTATTTTATGTTACATTTTTTACTGTGGGATATATACTTTACAATAAAAAAGATAAAGCTAAAATATTTTTAAATTTTTATAAAGTATTTTTTTAGTAGACTAAAGAGAATATTATATTTTAGTATAAAAGTCGTATAACACGAACTTATATATAAACTTATATAAATAACTGATATAAATTAGCGGAACACATTATTTTCTTATTTTATGTGTGAAAAGATATTTACTCCTCCAGCCACAATCGCCTTGAGACTTTAATACTTTGAGACGGCATCTTATGCCGTCTAAGCGATATACAGGGTGTACAAAAAAATCATGGACAGCGAAACTTCTCTGGAAATTATTAATTATTCTTTCCGCAGATTTTAACCTTCTCCGTTCATTTATCCCTCTTTGCTCCTCGATACTACATTTTCTGTCGAGAGAATAAAAAAATTAAGTTAAAACAATTTTTTTTAAATAAACAAAGATAAATTTAATTGAATAATATTCGATTAAAATTATGCAGATTTCATTAATCATTCGAAATTAAATGGCGACAACGCATTTATCGAGAATTTTATCGCGAGATAATCTCTGAACGAGATTCTCGAAGGATGACAGATGACAGGTGACAGCGAGGCGCCCGTTCCTTCCCGAACACTGGGTATACTTGAGCACGCGAACGGGCGGGGGAGGGGGGAGCGGTCAGCCAATCGGCGCGCGACAGCACTTCGCGGTGTCGCGCCGCGTCTCCTAACCGCTGGCCGTGAAAGAGCCACGTTTGCTACAGGGACGAGACAGACGTAGCCGAGAGACAGAACGGAGCTGCCTTCCGACCCGCGCAAGTCTGCAAGTTCGTCGCGAGGATGCTGCGAAAGTGTCTGACCATTTTGCCTCTGCTCCTGCTCGGCATCTACGCCGACGAGAAGGATGTCCTGGAGCTCACCGACGAGACCTTCGAGAGCGAACTCGAGCGTCACGAGAACACACTCGTCATGTTTTACGCACCATGGTGAGATAGACGTTTCCCTGCCTCCTCTCTGTCCTCGGGTTTGTCTCATCCGTCAATGTTCAATTTTGAACATATTGATAATGGTTTGAAATTCTGTGTACAAAATAAAATTAAATGAGTATTCCGAAAGAGATGAAGGAAATATTTTGTGCTAAAGATGCAAGTAAAAACGGAGTCTTCCTTTTTTTTAGTCATTAATCTTCTGGAAAGATTTTTATTTATCGCAATGGAAATTTTTATCTGTTTGTATTATAATTATATCATTCTGATGAAAGAAAGAGAGAAAGAAAGCAAGGAATCTTATCTTCCATCTGTTAGAGCGAGAGGAGATAGAGCCGAAAATCGCGCCGGGATGTCGACATCGTCGAATGCCGGCATGTAATGTCTCAATGATCTTGATGACGTATGTAGATTTTTTGTTTCCTCCGGCAATTAAAGTTTGATAAATATAACTCTTCATTTCCTTTCGATATCTGATAAGAAAACGTATTGTAGCATATCCGAATTTTTGACATTATTTTTTCTCTTTTTTTTCAATAATTTATTTAATTTTCTTTTTTCTACTTTTTCCTTTTTAATAAGTTATTAAATAATTATTTTGACAAATTTAGAAAACAAAATATTTAAAAAGAATCTACTCACATTATGCACTTGCATGATTTGAATGCAAGTGACATAAAGAAATATAGTTAAAAAAACTTTTTTAATTAATTAAATAACTTTTTTTAAGGAAATTATAGTTCTTATATTTATTTAAATCTCAGGTTTATATAAAATATCTATAACCACTGTCTGTATAAATTTATTATAAAAATTCATATTTGTAAGTTAATTTATTATTTTTCTCTTTAATTCATTATTGCATAACTGTAAAGAGGCAATTGATAGAATGTTTGGTTTGTCGACAGGTGTGGGCATTGTAAACGTTTGAAGCCAGAATATGCCAAGGCAGCTGAGCTGCTCATAGGCTACGAACCATCAATTACTCTTGCTAAGGTGGATTGCACAGAATCTGGAAAAGAAACTTGTAACAAGTTTTCTGTCAGTGGGTATCCAACTCTCAAGATCTTTGAACATAATGAGTTCAGATCTGACTACAATGGTCCCAGGGAGGCACCTGGTATTGTTAAGTACATGAAGGTAATATTATACAAGATTTTTATTACATTTACCAGATAACATCAGATAATTATTTTATGTGATGTGGCTCTCTTTGTTTCAGTCTCAAGTGGGACCAGCATCTAAAGAATTGATTAGCGAACAGGCTCACAAAGAATATCTGGTGACTGACGATGTCAGTGTAATAGGTTATTTCGAAAAGGATGACTCTCCATTGGCTGCGGTATTCCACACTGTTGCCAAGAAGCTCAGGGAGAAAGTCAGATTCGCTCACACATCGACGAAAGAAGTTTTGGACAAAGTGTCCCACAAGTATGTTTGTTTATAAAAGTTATAAAAAAATATGCAATTGTTTTGTGTACAAAGAGAATAACTTATTTGAAATTTACATCGACTAAACTATTTTTTGTTTTAGAAACACTATTGTTTTATATCGACCAAAGATACTCCACAACAAGTTTGAAGATAAGAGTTTAATATACGAGGGTGCTGAGTCTATCAGCGATGTGAACGACTTTGTCACCAAGAATTAGTGAGTATCTTTTTTATCAAAATTTTATAATCGTAGACTCACCTTGTAACGCCAACTTTGTTACAGTTATGGTATCGCTGGCGTGCGCACTCGCGACAACTCGCAGGATTTCAAGAATCCTCTGGTGGTCGCCTATTACAACGTGGATTACGTGAAGAACGCCAAGGGTACGAACTATTGGCGCAACCGAATCATTAAGGTCGCCAAGGACTTCCCCGAGTACTCCTTCGCCATAGCTTCCAAGGATGACTTCCAGCACGAATTGAACGATTTCGGCATCGACTACACCAAAGGCGATAAGCCGATTGTTCTAGTGCGAGATGCCAAAAACCAGAAATACGCTCTTAAGGATGAGTTCTCCATGGAGACGTTCGAAGCGTTCCTGAAGGATCTGCAGGCCGGCGCTCTGGAGCCGTATCTGAAATCTGAACCGATTCCGGAGAGCAACACGGGCAACGTAAAAGTCGCTGTAGCTAAGAACTTCGACGATCTGGTCACCAACAGCGACAAGGACACGCTGATCGAATTCTACGCGCCCTGGTGCGGCCACTGCAAGAAATTGGCACCGATCTACGACGAGTTGGGTGAGAAGATGGCGAATGAGAATGTCGAGATTGTCAAATTTGACGCGACGGCGAATGACGTACCGGCCTCGTACGAAGTGCGTGGTTTCCCGACTCTCTTTTGGGTACCCAAGGACGCCAAAGACAGCCCGGTTAAATACGAAGGCGGTCGCGAGCTCGAAGACTTCATCAAATACATTGCCAAACACGCCACCGACGAGCTCAAGGGCTACGATCGCAAAGGCAATGCGCTCAAGCCTAGAACTGACGAGCTATAAGACATTATCGAATACTATCGCGAAGTTTGTTTCTACATTTCAGAAGGCAATCGGATTAACGATCCGCGAGTTTTCCTCATGTAACACACGAGTACAGTTAAGAATCCGCGAATGTGCAAATAAACATAGAAAAAAATAATGCTGAGTGCAGACATAATGCGTCTTCGCATTGCGCATTTTCAATAAGTGATAGATGAAGAATGTTCGTCATATAGGAAGTGCTTCTAATATTTAGAATTGTTCATCATGTACTAATTATATATCATGTATTAATTTGTAACGATTGTATAACGATGTAGTGTACAGAATTAATTTCAATTTTTTCCATAATAACATGCTTCATGAAGAATGAAAAATTATATAAATATAAATCCACATAATTTTTTATATATTAGAGATACTGTTTATTCAAACATTCTTCATCTTTCACTTATTACAATATATGTATGAAGTAACACACACACACACACACAAACACTCCATTCCAATCTAGCGTGTTTCGACTATTCTAATACAGTGATTTCTGTTTATACGAGAGTCAAAATAAATTGTTTTGTACAAAACTTTGAAGGATATTTCTTTTCCCAAACGCAGTTATAAAGCATATCACATTATGACGTACAAAATATCAAAGTATCATATATTTTAAAAAAGATTAAAAACTAATGCAAATAAATGTGTCCTATTTTCGCGGGTGTCATCCAACAGTATCACTGATTACATCGTCATAAGAAATGTTTATTGTTAGTTACAATTTGTTATAGCGTTCGTAGGTTAATCATAGTCTTACATACAAAAGCTAGTTAGTAGTTATAGAGAGAGAGAGGGGTGTATGTGAATTTTTTGGAAGTCAAAATCGATGATCTCTTTTCTTTGATGATAAAAAATTGGTTTATTCATCGGAACTGCCGATAAATTTTTTTTTGTTTTCTTCGCGTATACAAACCCCATTAATCACGTTTGAGTCTCAAAATATCTCTACTTACGAAGAAGATAATTAGCTTAAACCGCGTTATCGACGAACTCGAGCTTCACGAAGGGGAGCCTCATTAAGAAAAAGTAATTAATTTGTATGTGTGTATATGTATATGTACGTGTACGGGGATACATACGTATTCTCTTTTCAACGTCAGTTTCTATCGAAGTAAAACGCGATTCATTCAGATTTTATATGTGAATACATATTTAATAATATTGGAGGACTCGCATCTATCTAAACGATCAGGACCGTTCTTTTGCTTATTGCTCTCTGTTTATGCATGCAATAGTAGTGTGTATGTGTGTATGTATATATATATATATATGTATGTATATAATTATTTATGTGCTCTGGAAAAATGATACTCGAATCTCGATCGACACGCGTGTCTATTACAAGAGAACGGTAAAGAGTTTATATCATATCATGTATATACAATATCTCGGGTGCATAATTGATACAATTACATAAGTAATGTATATATATAAATATATATACCGATATATTTATATAAATATATATATACCGGTATATATCCACGAAACTCATTATAAAAAGAACACTTTCGAGCTTCACAGCGACGCGCGAACTGCAGAGGAGTGGAGAGCCTGTATATATCCAAGTGTTTCCCAAACCACTCGTTAGTTTAAAAACTGGCACGCTTAATTGCTTAATATACATCTCCCTTTCTCTCTTTTTGCCGTTCCTTCCTTTTCTCTTTGTTTTCCACGAATCTGTCATGCGCGCGTTCGCTCGTGGCAGAAGTATTTCAAAGTTTTGTCGCTAAGCTTCTGTTTTTTTTTCATTACGCGATCTTGAAAAATTCCAGTTAAAAGCGTATTACGTGTAATGTAGAAGATCTTTATGTATTACCGCTAAACGCGCGTTCGAGAGAAACCAAAGAGAGAACTTGAACACAATTCCGCAGTCAGGTAACGTCGAACTAACGGCCGAGAGAGGCTTAGCGTTACACGGCCGTTAATTCAACACCACGTCTTTGTAACACAATTCTTTTTATTATGAATATGACAGATTAGACGGATCTCTACACAAGAGGACGAGTAACACATTAATTCTGTTTTTTTTCTTTTCACTTCGGCGTAAAGAGTATAGCACAAGCGAAACAGGAAGAACTTGTGGCGAAAACAGGTGTATATTTCGCGAAGTAAAAGCCTGACTCAAATATAATCGTGGCACACACGGTAAAATTATTGATATTCGGGATCATTGAGATAATCACGTGGCGATCGATAATCTCCGATAATAAGAATGCATCATACGCTAAAGATATCGATGGCGTATGTGCACATGTGTATAAAAAAAATGCGCAAGCCGCAAATCCAGTTACGGCATGGTCAGATACAAAGAAAACGCGTTCCCCGAAATACATAAATATATTATATAGCCGCTGGTATAATCCGTTGTGTTAGTGTGTCACCGTGATACAATATAACTCAAAGATAATAATAATAATAATAATAATAATAATAAATAATAATAATAATAATAAAATATAATAATACACACATTTTTTTAAATCTAATTGGTATCTTAAAGACTAAAGTGATTTGCTCTGGTCTATCTACGCGCGTTTATAATGATATATAATGTCTGTAATTTTTCTCCTTTTTTCTGCTCACGAGCCGATAACGCGACGATTTTAATAAAAAAAAATAGCGATGCAAAAAATTCGGAATTTCCCCGAATCGCTTTTTTAGATTCTTACACTGTTCTTTGACTGCGTTTCGCGTATTTTGTATTCTTCGTTTCTTATCTATATTCTTTCTCAACTCGCTCGTTTTCCTTTCATTTTGTTTATTACCAAAATAAAGAGCTACTACGATAAAATAAAAAAACAAAGATGTAGAATGCATATAATAATAATTATAATATTAATAATATTAATATTAATAATAATGTTCTGGGTTGACGCGGTTGCACCTTTTCTTTTTTCATTTTTTTGTTGTTGTATATTTTATTATGTAAAATAATTAAAGATGGTTTCTCCGCGGGATCTGCGGCATTACGACTAGCTTTGTTGCAGCTAGTTCCGCAATTCCATTATTTCGCCCGTGTTATATCGGGTTTACTTGGGATAAACATCTTAAAGGAGCCTACACCTGCCCTTCTTCTTCTTCTTTACCTAAAATAGTACAACAATGACGTTAATATAATGTGTTATAAAAAAGTAATAAGTAATCGTTATTTTATTATATATATATATATATATATATATATATATATATATATATAAAGGTATTTTACTTGTATATTTCTTCTTGAAAAACACAATGTTTTTTTTTTATGTTAATTCGTACAATAGAATATAACAATTACTTTTTTTTAAGAATTATTGTTTCAAACAATAAAACGCTAATGAAGACATACTTGTAACGCAGCTCGGGTTGCCGTTTCAAAGACTTCCCTTACACCTTCCTTGCTTTTAGCAGAACATTCGAGATAAGCGAAAGCGTTGATCTTTTCCGCCATGGCTCTACCCTCCTCGGGCTTAACAGGCTCCTGTTTCATCTTGCTCAATTCCTTGATGGTATTAGGATCATTACGCAAGTCTTTTTTATTACCCACAAGGATAATGGGCACATTCGGGCAGAAGTGCTTCACTTCTGGTGTCCACTTCTCGGGAATGTTCTCCAGGGAATCGGGACTGTCGATGGAGAAGCACATTAGGATGACGTCCGTGTCTGGGTATGACAACGGACGCAACCTATCATAATCTTCTTGTCCAGCTGTGTCCCAAAGAGCCAGTTCCACCTGTTTGAAACGCAAAATAAGAATCGTCGTTTGTTACAAGTGTAAAAAAATTCTTTCGACAAAGGGAATAAGAAAAATTTGAAAACTGCACCTGTTTACCATCCACTTCGATGTCGGCAACATAATTCTCGAATACCGTGGGTACATATACTTCAGGGAATTGGTCTTTGCTGAATACTATGAGAAGACATGTTTTACCGCAAGCACCGTCACCGACGATAACCAGCTTCTTCCTGATGGCTGCCATGAATCCTAAAATCCAAAAGAGTACACATTATTTATAAAATAATTGATAAAAATAAATTAGCGAGGTGATGTACGATTTGGCACTGCTTGCTTGTTTAGAACATTTATCGCTTTAAAAATATATGTAAATATTGATTGATTCATTAATATGAAAAGCAAATGTGTGTTTTACATTTGTTATAAGTTAGTGATGCACAATTGCAATCAAGTCAATATTATTTTTGTGCTAAAATTTTTTAATTCTTTTTATCATATCGCGTATAAAATTTTGATATAAAATATACAGCTTTCTCTTAAACTATACTTTGTGTTTTCGATTTATCAATTTATATTATTTAAAAATAAAGAGATAATAACGTCTCGAAGTGAGAATATTTCACAGATGACCAATTTATAGTTTTCTTCTAAAAATGAACATTTTTCCACCAAGCTAACTTACCTACTTTACACATAGAAATAAAGAAATAGTCATATATAAAATTCTATTTCTAATTAATTATGCTATCACATCGTACCATAATGTTCAATGCGATAAAGTTCAGTAATCATGTTTTTATCGCGTTTCTTACTAATCGTGACTCATTTACACAAAGTACACACACCATACTATAATACTGTAATATGCAATAGATTTTCCTCCTACATAAGATGTGTAATTGTATCTTACTAATGTTATCTACAATAATCTTAACTATTATAGCAAATTATATATTATAAATAAAATTCTATTCTGCAAAATTCTAATCTATCAGAGCGTGTATTTTAAATGTCAGCATATATATATAAATATATATAGCTTAGAATATCTTATCACCTAAAAGGTAACAGTAAATTGATATTGATAAAGAATTTCAATCAATGCGACATTGTGCACGAAGAACACTACCAAATTATTCAAACTAAAAGCATGCGGTGTGATTTAATGAAAAAATCTGCGACATGTACAATGAATTATATTATAGAACGTAACGAAATACGTCAGGAACGCAAAAGATAGCTGGAAAGAATCGAAGAAGTTAGTATTCACATCGAAATTTGCTTCTCTTGCAGCATCAGTAAATTATAATTGAGTGGACAGCAGAGGGCAAACGGTTCTTTTTTTTTTAATCGAACAGATTCACAAAAGCGTGTATAATATAAATATACGAAAGAAGTGATGGATGAGGCTAAAAAGCGTTCTTCATCAGGACAGAGTTAGGAAAAAGAAATTAGGGTAAACCTTCAAGAGAGAAAGAGAGAGACAGACTGTGTAAGTCGCGTTATATACATCTCTCCTTTTTGGGAGAGCGCAATATAAATAGTTTCTCATGTTCAAACCTCGTAGGCTATGATTTAATTTTTTTTATTAATTTTCTTTTATCGTGGCCTCTTCGAGCTAATCTCGATATATGAAATATTTCTCTGTGCAGAATAAAATACAGCATCCCCTTCGGATTTTTATCATACTCTAATTCGTTTCTATATAATTCCAATACTACTGCTCTCGTTAAAAAGTGACAAGTCGAGATTTCTAAATTCCTGCAATATATCTACTCGGTTTATGAAAAAGCAGGACCTACGAGGGCTGAAGTTTAAAAGGATATTGACTGGGTCGTACCTGATCCAGGGTACCCCGTATCGTCTGGACCGAGGCATCGGCCCGCATTGCATCCCATGTTTTTAGTCTTTCTTTCAGCGTCTCTGTTTTAAGTGGACATTTTATATGTTAGATGTAGGTAGGAAGCTGCGAGAGATGAATGCAATATACCACACAACAAATATCAATATATATATACATATACATATATATGTTGTCTGTTTTATATTATACTAAAAGTTTGCATAAGTATATAATTAACAACTTGAAAATTCCTCCTTTATATTATATGCAATTTTTGCAATATTTTCTATTTCTTAACTCTTTCCTTTTAAATTAAAAAAAATATATATATGCTACTTTTTTCAACAGGACTGTTAACGATTAAGTATAAATGATCCTCATCTCACGTTCGATGACCTTATATACATATCTAAATCAAGATATATGGTGTGGCTACATAAGGTAGGGTCTTTTAAAATATATTTTACCATATCCATAGAAACAATTACCAAATGGACTAATGTGTATAAGGTTTACACTTACATTTGGATTGCATTTGTATAAGTGTTACATCTAACAAGGAGTTCCTTCAAGTTACATATCAAAGACTTTACCTTATGCATTAGGATAAAATAATAAAATCTGTCGAGATTACATGCAGAAAAAAAGGAAAAAAGAAAAGAAACAAAAGCCCGTATATATTATTTGTTAGACATGCACAATATCAAACACTGTATATATATCCACATTAGAAGAACCATCTGATAAATAATGAAGCATAAATTCAATTATAATAAATACTGTACAACAAAATATGCTTGTATCATATTAGGCTATTCTAACGTGGCTTGAAAATGTTTAAAAACAATTTGAATAAATATATAGTTGCCCACAGCAGAAAGGAGTGATCTGATTGAATCGAGAAGAAAGTACTACATAAATTGACACAACAGCAACGAAAGAAAAAGCTTCTGATGCCAAAATTCATCCCATTTCCAACAGTGGCTCGTCATAACAGATTTGCAACGATATTCAGCAAAGTTTTAGAAAAATGAAAGCATCGACATGGAGAACATCATCTCTGTAAAGTATAGACAAATTGCCATAGAATCTTCAACTAATAATAAAAAGATTAAGCTCATTATTTCTGGACAAACACGAATAAAACCTGACCGAAATGTTCGAGCAACAGACGTCAATGTTCACGTCGATATCTCGCGAATTTCTAACACGCAGGAATGAGTCCGTTGTTTTACGATTTTTATATATATTTAGATCCTATATACACAATTTATCGAAGAGGGAAAAAAAGCGAGCATAGACTAGCTATCGAGGGAGTAAAAAACATTGTACATCGAGCCGAATCAATTCCCTATTGTATATTTCCCGTTAAATATAGAAATTCCCCCGAAGATGATGAACACACGGATCGATGCCAGAAGATATGCAGCACTCACCTCCGATAACTCCTAAACCCGGTCGATGAAACGTTTTCTAGGAGGACGTAGAAATATAAGCTAAGAGAGATTATGTTCTTTTTTAGTCGCACTTGAGGAGGAAGAGAAATATTCTGGGTGAAGAAGAGAGAAAATGAAAAAAAAAAAAAAAGACAGAGAAAACTTGGAAAAGTGTGCGTCAAATTAAAGAGCCTCAGCTCTCTCTTACGCTTTCTGCATTTAAAATGTTTACTCCGATTTTGAAAGGGCGAGAAGGAAGAGACAAAGTTTTCGAGAGTGCAAGACTAAAACGAAGACGTCTCGGCTAAACTAACCTATGTCTTCCTCCACGACGAAGATAGTGCGCATCGGCCAAGGTCGGGGAGCGTGAAAAAGAGAGAGACAGAGAGAGATAGAGAGAGGGAGAGTGCGTGGCGGATACTCAGGACGCCATCGATGACGCGAGTGCTCGGGAGACGCTAACGATGACGTGAGTTCTCGAGAGAGAGACGCTTCCCGACACCCAATTCGTTTCTCACCTGCGTTCTCTTCTATCTTTCGCAAATTTAAAATGCTGCGTGTGCACGCAAAAAAAATAATACAGAGAGAAAGAAACAAAGTGTAGAAAGTGTAACTGAAAATAATAAACGTAACGTCACAAGTATATGAGTGTTCCTTTCAGCACACATGTGTAACATTTTTTTATTCTATCGATCTAGTAAACAAAAAAAAAATAAAAAAATTGAATCTTCCCAATCCCGAGTATTTCAGGTGTAGAAAGTGGAACATGATGCAGCTGAAAGGAGGAGCTACTCCCGGCGATGCTGGGCACGTCGCATATGATCATCGCGTCACGTCAAAAGCGCGCACGTATATTCCAGAATTTGTTTACGCAGAGCGGAACGAGGGAGAAGAAGGGGTATAAAACGTTGTCGAACCATAGAAAAAGGCGAGGGTGGAGAAATTTCCGCACGAAAAAAAAAGTTGCTGATGAAATTTATTCCTCTTAACTGCACTTCGATTTTCTTTATCCTCCTTCCTCCCTTTTCTTCCCCCCGCGATCCATCCACCGAATATTTATAAACGTCGTTACTTAACGTCATCGCGAATGCGGAGAACGTGACGTTGTTACGCGGCTGACGGGGAATCTGAATAAAAAAAAAAAAAAAAGAGGGTAGGATATAAAGAGAGAGAGATAATAGAAATAATTCACGCGAAGAAGATTCATCGCTCGCGATATGCCTGTATATGTATGTACGTGTTGATATATGTCTAAATGACAGAAAGAGAAAGAAAGAGACAGAGACAGAGTTTACTTACTGAACTAAACGGCCACGTAGTGTCAGGTAGAGCCCAAGAGCATTCCAAGAGACCCGTCGACGAGGATGACGACAGAACGAAGAGGAAGAGGAGTCGACGAAGACGTGGACGACTAGCACGAATCAACAACGAAACAATAATATATATATATATATGTATATATATATGTGTGTGATGCACGAAGATGTAACACGTCGTCCAGCTCTGGACGACGAGATTCACGACGCGTGACACTCCCTCGGAGCCTTCTCGCGCGACCCGTTCTCGCTCTCCTTCGTCCACCTATCTCTCCTTCTCTCCCCGCTTCGTGCACACGTACTCGCACTCACACACTCACTCGCTCTCTCTCTCTCTCTCTCTCTCTTTCGCTCCCACGGCTCGCGGAGGAGGAGGCAGGCTCCTTTTTTCCCTCTTTTAGCACCGTACCCGGCCCGACGTCCCGGCGGGATCTCCAACGTGTCCGGACACGCTCGCGACGTCCGCACGCACCACGCACCCTCGCACTCCACTCCACTCGACGGGAGCTTAAAATATAATTTGCGTATTTACCTGATTTCTTTAAGCGACAGAAAGTCAAGAAAATGGCTGCCCTCGACGGCCACACCTCGATCTGAGTTGAGTGCAGTGTAGAAAGATCGTGGGACAAATTCCACCGGCGGGACCCGCCGCGCATGCGCCACTGACGTCACCGTGCCACGTGACCGATCACCCTCAGGGCCGTACGCGGGTCCTCTTGACACCTACAAAAATTGCTCTTGTTAATATATTTATAAGAGTATTTTCTTATTTTTTATGAAATTATATATTCGACGAACCTTTAACGTTAATAGAAAAAAATTAATTTGAACCATTTTTCTGCTATAAATAAATAAAAAATCGTACTATTTCATTCTAATCTCCACCATATTTTTTTTTATTAGTTTTTTTAATTTTTAGAATAATTCGCTGTGCAGATTTTGTACAAAAAATTCTCAAAAAATATCTTATTTTTAGCTTTCTAAAGCAGGCGGTTCCCTAAAAAATCTGGAAATATAAAGATGTGCACAAATATTCTAAATGTAACATCGTATTTTTTCAAAATATTTAAATAAATAATGTGTCCGCATTTTCCAGATTTTTTTCTGCAAAGGGGTGCAACGATACCCTTATTACGGAGAGGTATAGACATTATTGAGGTGTTACCGCGCACGCGCGGATCTGTCACGTGACCTCTCCGTATTGGTCGAGCGCGCGGCAATTGGTCGCGATGGTAGGGCGGGATGTTGCTCCTCGGACATATCTCAGGAATGCACTGCGGGCCACGTCCGAATGCCGGGATCCCCGAATGTCGCGTGACTTGCGCGCGTGTCCGGCTTTTATCTGCCGCCGAATCGGGTCGACGTTCGTAAATTGATGATTAGATCGGATGAACACGTTGATTTCAAAATACATCATTATTAATAAATAATCCCTAATGTTATAAAACATAATAATTCCCATCGATTATTATGAAAGAAATCTAGCATACAAATAACAATAAAATAAACAAATACATTTGCATCGAATTAAGATAACATTATATCAACGCACATATATTACAGATTTATTTCTTTCCTGTTTCTACATCCTGTTAACGCACACTCTGACCGGAAATTAGTCATCAGAAATATATACACACGGATATCGGAGAAAGAAAGAGGGGAAAAAAATCGTAGAAAGATCGCAGGATAAAAAGAGAGCGTACACATAAATTCTCTCGTAAATGTCTCGGCGGACAGGTGGTAAAGCTATACGAGCATCGATCGCGAGGAGAGGCGCGGCTAAAATGGAAATCGATTCGGAAATTTTGCCGGCACCCGCGATTCTTGCGTCGGCCCTGCGATACGCTCCAAAACCGGCGAATCACGCGCCTCATGTAATAAACCTGTGGAAGAAATTTGCGCACACGCCACCTCTGTTTGTGGGTGGAAAGGGTTGGAAAATATGTAAATAAGCGGACGCCGCCGCCGCTTTTTACAGGCATAATTTTTTAGTACGCGCGCGAAAAGATGTGAAATTTTTTTCATTTCAGAAAAAGAAAAATATTCTACCCGATTGTGTGACATTAATCAATGTAAAATTTTAATTTTAATGACGATATACACCCAAAAAACATAACTTTGTTATATGTAAAATATAATGGAATCTAATTAATAAAAAAAACCTAGAATAGTATAAAATTTTATAAAACATACGTGTGTATCTATAGATACTGAAACTTTTCTTTTTCTTTACGAAAAATTCGATATTTTATATAATAAATGAATGCAAAATTAATATAGAAAATACACACGCATTATATCTATTTTTTTGCACACAGTCATGTAGAATATTTTCATTTTTTTTTCTTACATTAATTTCACATCATAATGCATATTAATATGGCACGTATTCACATGTCATTAATGCCGGTTTATTGTCCAAATCAAATAAACGTTAGCGTCAAAAATTTCCCGATTGTTTGCAAAACAATCTTGACTTATTTTTTCTTCTTTTTTTAATAAAGAAAAGTTAATTCAGGACACAAGACTTCCTTACATCCAGCCAGTCTTGTTGTTCATTCAGTGTTAAACACGACAAAATCTGCACAACAAAATTTTTTATTAGCATAAAGTAAATTCGCATTCAATATATGTAATTTACAAATAATGCAATATATGTTAATTATTATTTAAGAGTAATATATACACACGCACATAATTCTTTTAAATTCCTGATTACTCCAATATAGAAAAATAAGTTCCTGCAACTTGCACAAATCAATATGTAAATAATTTGACAAATTATCGACAAATAAATTGTCAAGTTCTTTTGAAATCGTTCATTTTTATAAACTGCATTTCATTCTTGAATGGAGTTTATGACAGTCAGCTGATCTTAAGGAAGCATAAGCGAACGTGATCCGCTTTTAATCACAGATAGCATACTCGAGTATACAGATCACGAATATATAGATTGCAATATACCGTTTACGTGTGCGTATTCGAGCGTGAGAATGTGTACGTGTACGTAAATACGTGCCAAATAAGAATGATGTCACCGTATGACGCACGCGGAATTGGCGTGCGCTTATATCCGATGCTGGCCGATCCCGTGGAATACGGGGAATGCGGTCGTTAATGGAATTTACGTATCCTGCTCGCAGAGAGAAACTGTGTTTGTTGATTATTTTATCGTATGATGAACATTATAGAAAGACATCGATAAATTAAGAATCGGGAAAACTCCCTAGCATTGTAAATAAAACATTTACAAACAAATTTTCGTAATAAAAGACAAAAAAGAAAAATAAGAATATGCAATATTTACTCTTACGAAATATTTCACTGTCGATTTTTTAAGAATGATACATTTCAGAAATAAATATGTTTATAAGATATTCTTTTTATATTGAATCAGTTTTTCTTGATTTCTTTTTAATTATTTATTGTAATAATTTTTCAGAGAGTATGTGTATGTGTATATGTATAATAATGTTCTAATTATCCAGAAAAAAATTAAATAAATAATTAAAGAGAAATATCTTTAAAAACGCTCTTTATGATGCAATTTTTATTACAATGTCTTTTTATTAATTAGTATATTGCTTTCAATATGTTGTCAAACTGTGTTGAGAAACCAACATGTTCAAAATACTCAAGACTGTGAACTTGATATGCTCTCACCTAAGGTCAGTTGAAAATTCTAATGAACAATTTATATATGTATATATATATATATATGATTGCATGTTTATAAAATATTGACAATTCTCTATTGTGTATAATATGCATGTAGAGAAAGTTTGAGAATATATCAATAAAATATACATATATTTTGTATTTTGCATGAAATTTTCAATCACTTATTCAAAACATAATAAACAATTGCATTATATAATATATAAACTGTGTGTATAAATCAGTATTTGACATCTGAGAAACAATATTCTAAATAATATAATAAATTGGATATTATTGTTCAAATTATTTAAATTATTGCAGCAAAAGAACATCTTGTCATATTATATCAATTTTTGTATACTATAAAAAAATATTTATAGATAGAGAGGAGAGAACAAGATAAAAAAAGGGAAGAGAAAAATAGAAAAAGAAAAGCCCAGAAACATGATTTTGCACCCATAATCGATGACTAATCTATAAAATCAATTCTGTGGTATGCATGTTATCATTGCTTTTAATATGATGGTAGAATAAATTGTTATTCAAGCTATAAGTCTCACCTTATGATGTTTTAAAAAATGATACGATGTACTGTTTCATATAGTGAGAAAGAAAATGATGTTCGCATAAACTGTTCGTATCCTATCATAAAACCTCAGTCATACATTTCAATTTTGCTGCGGTGGCTCCGGATCATTTGGATTGCCGCCCATTTGTCGTCTTAGCGATTCGATCAACTCGGGATTTGCATTCTGCATTTGCTGTGCTAATTGTTGACCTCTGAAATATTTATGTGCATGTGAACAAGTATATGAGCTGATCTACATAAATGTATCAAGCTATAAACATGTTTAATAAGAACTTTTTGATTTGATCACATATAAAATGATTATAAATACACTTACGCTTCTATGAGCACTTCCATACGACCACCTTCCTCCACATTGCCAGACATTAGATTGCACATCATATTTTGCATAGCTGGGTCAGATAACATCTGACGTGCCATATTCATTAGAGCAGGGTTGCTTAAAAGGGCACTCAGATCCATACCAGGCATATTAGGCAGAGATTGGTTGACACCTAACTGAGCTAATTTCTCTTCTGCTAATTGCAAATTATTCCGGTAACTTTCATTATCTGGTTCCATTGCTAGAGCCTTTTCGTAACTTTCCTTAGCTTCTTTATGCCTCTCCAAACTGGAATATGCTAAGCCTAATCGACCATATGCCTTGCTATACGAAGGATCAATAGAGAGTGCTGTGTGACAGTCTTTGATGGCTAGGGTATGGTTACCGAGTTTGGACAAAACAGCAGCTCTATTGCAATAATATACCGCATTGCGACCATCCAATTGTATTGCTCTGTAAACAATAGAATAAAAAATAGAACAATATTTTAAATATAAAAATAGGAGAAATTATATAAAACAAATACTTTGTATAATTGGCAAGCGCTTCTTGATGTTTCTCTTGTTTCATAAGCGCATTGCCTTCGTTTTTCAATCTTTCTGCCTCGGCCTTTAATTCTGTAGTAGCCTCTGGGCCTAGGCTAGGCGCCGCGTTCTCTACAGTGTTCTTGTAAACTTGATATAGATTAAAATTTGCTGGAGCGTCAGAAGCTTGCACATTGTAAGCACTTTCCAGGCACTGGATTGCCACTTCCAAGCTCTCGCGAGAGTCGGCAGTTATGTCCCCATCTTGCAATTGATCAGTCAAAAACTGCACAATCGCTGAAATTAATCCCTTGACAGCCATCAGTGTTCAATAAGGAAATATTTATTCCTGCAAAGAAAAAAAACAATAAGTTGTCAGAATATTATGTCCTATAATATAATCATCTTTTATATATATATATATATATATATATATATATATGTACAATATATAATATATATTAATGTACAATATATAATATATATGTATGTGTGTGTGTGTATATATATATATATATATATGTACATGGAGTATAACATCATAATCGTACAAATTAGTGAAAATAAAACCAGATATTAAAAAAAAATATATATATAGCATAAATGAAAATCGAGACACGTCGAAGTGTTACGTAGAGGTTAGATAACGGAGAATTAGAAAGATTCAAAGGTGATGTGGACATAATTATCTAATTTAACATCGGTTGACATAACCAAAAGTTTCGCCGGACGTTCTGGAGCAGCTAAAAGTAGGTCCTTTCACGCGCGGACAAAGTTTTCCATCAGACTCTCGATTATCCTTCCGAATCGCGATGTCATGCTCCACGTAAACGCGCTTCGTCCAGTACATCGGACTGTTTAATCCTCGTGGACGTCGCTCGTGACAGCTGACAACGACGAGACGGGGAAGAAGGAGACAGAGAGAGCGGCGACGCGAAACGCGCACAATATATGATAAGTATCAAGGAAAAAAGGAGAGTCGCACCTTTGTTTTTCTTCGATTCTTCAATCGGATAACTCAGGAAGCAAAGGAAGCCGAACGGAGTTCCTCGGCTCGCGCGCACGTACCACTTTGAAGTCCGTCGAGGTTGCAACTTCAGTGCAGTTCGTGCAACACCGGGGCGGGATGAACTTTCGATGACTTCCGCTGCGCGAAAAAGGAAACTCGCCAACGTGATCTCGTTTCGCTCCTAGTTCACGAAATTCCGCGAGAACGTGAACTTTTGCTTGTTGGAATATCTTAATATTTGATAGAGAAATATACGATTATATAATATTTATGTCATTTGCAAACAAAATGCGTTTTATTTCGAATTTTACGCTATCGAAATTTCACCGAAAAAATATTAATGGATATATTTCGGAAACATTTTTGAATATATTACTGCGTAATTTTTTAAGTTTTTCATACTTTTGCATATATTATAAAGCGCGTTTAATAACAAATAATTTGAAATTTATAGGTCCTTTTAGTGCGTAAGTGCTTGCGCATGTAAAATTGCTGCGCTCTTCTTTGAATTCTATTTAAACTTACATTAAATTTATTTTGATACGCATTGAATGATAGATATATCAAATAAAATAATAATATATAAAATATTTTATAGGAATTATATAAATTTTGCTTTGTATGAATTTTGTTCGCAAATAACTTTGTTAAATATATTAATTAAAATAATAATATATAAAGATATATCAAATAAAATAATAATATATAAAATATTTTATAGAAATTATATAAATTTTGCTTTGTATGAATTTTGTTCGCAAATAACTCTGTTAATATATTATTCGCGTAACATAAAAATAACGTAACAATGTGCAATGCAATAAATGCATTAACGAAAAAATGATAATCAATAGAAATAAAGTAACAAAATAGAAAAAAAATATTAATGTTGCCGTATTTTTTACATTTTTGACTAGCGATTAAACGGCGTAATAAATATTTGTAGAATTCGAATTAACATATATATCGATATATATAAATATTCAGGCGTGTGCATATATACAAAATTCATTTCTATGATCTCTATAATCTTTGTCGGATTAATGTGGACCTTGTTTCACGATTCGAAAGATTATATTGTCGTTATCTGTGCCAATCAAGATGTAATGACGATCCATATAATAAAATGGCATCATCGTTCGTAAGTCGTCCACGGCGTGTTGTAATTTCATCTGGAATTTCTAAAAATAATCGCGAAATTACGTGCATAATGTGTATTTTAAAATTACATTAAAATATTTTTATGTAAAACAAAAAATTACTTATTTTTATTTATTCGTGCATAGGAAAATAAGAGTCAATATATAGAAAAATAGTTTATATAGACTTACCCCAGCAAACATATATTCGTAAATATAAAATCGTCCACCTTGTGTTGTGACAATCACAAACACATCGCTGTTGCCAAAATCTGTGAGAAAAATAAATTTATAAATTATAAAAGTGATAAAAAAAATTTAAAAATTAAAAATTTTAATTCTAATTATAAATTATTCATTATTATAAATTGTGAACTGTCAATTTACAATCTTTACAAAACTATAGTAAAAATATGCGCACAACATGTTTTGTAATTATATTAAATTATCGCTTTAAAAATCGTACCATCGGCGTAGAAACACTCAATTCCGTTAATCCGATGGACATGAAAGATGTTTTGATAGTTGTGAAAGTTGCGAGATGTGGGATCATATTTGTAAATATTCACGGCGTTTGTATCAGGATTGTCCAGTAGAACAAAATGATCCTTTCCTTGCGATAGACTTTTCACGTAACGACTTCTGCTTGCGAATGTTCTCAGCTGTTCAAACTACACAAAAATACAGGAATTAATTTTTTATATAATATTTTAGATAAAGAGGAAGTTAAATTTTCAACGAACAAAAATATTCTGCGATTAATTCATTTTTTAAAATAAAGAATTTTTTATATTTTACAAGAAGCTGTATGCAAATTGTTCTCTAACTTGATTATCTCGATAATTATCACACCTTTTGTGTTAATAAATTGAATCTGTATAATGAAGACTCCGAAGATTCGCCAAAGCAGCCGATGAGAAGGAACACTTCTTCATTGATTTTGAAAATCTGAATGGACCAGGCACCGTCCGTAGGAATTTCTTGAACTAATGTTGCATTTCTCTTTTCCATATGTACTTTATAAAGCAAGGAGTTTGTACGATGCGTTGCACTTACTTTATCATAGTAAATCGCCAGAATTATATATACATTACCTGTAAGTTAAATTAAATTTCATATTAATGTTCTTACATACATTAACTTTTTTTATTTCAGTGGTGAATTTTTTAGTGTAATATACGTACCATCGTGTTTAAATATGCTCGCATCTTTCAAGTATCCTTCTATCTTATCGAAAACGTCTTCGTGAATCTTTTTCGAATTTTCAGACTTCATCAAGGAAATCGTAGTGAATTCTTGCTTGGTTCTCGACGAGGTGCATTTCTCATTGCTCGAAACGGCGTTCGTTATTACGTTGATACCAAAAACACTGTTGGGATCATGAAAATTTCTTACGATTTCTCCAGGATACACTTGCCATTTTCGCACATTTCCATCGATGATTTCTACCACAGATTGATACACACACAAACAATGATCTGGTAGCCCGCAAAATATTCCGGGCTGTTCACTGTACATATTCAGTCTGATTTCGTCCTCGTTGAAGTGCACTACGTCGATTTTGCTGACATTGTTCCCAGGTATCTTTAGATTCTCTTCTATTTCTAGATAAAAGAAGATGTTACCCAAGTTCTCGAACATTTCCGAACTATACTCGATATTCTGTTCGATTATTTTCCAGCTTTCCTCTAGGCTTTGCCTAGTCTTATTCGCCTTCTCTTGAGAATCGCTAATTGCGGAACGGAAATTTACACCATTTACCAAACCGGAAACATTCATATTTTGGATCCGAACGTTTGCCTTAAAAATCTAGTAGAGAAGAAATAATTCAAGTATGTGTTAAAATTAATTTTAATATTAAACATTTTCATTTAACTATATATGACTTGTATATTAACTTCGATTTTTGTTTTTATTTTTTAAATCTTATAAATTTAATTGCAATCTTATAGAATAGAAGTTAAATTTATACTAACCAGATTTCCAAAGATATTGACATCTTCATCGTTTTGTACACCATTATTAAATTCTTTTATTATGTCGACACCATTGATTTGCGGTGCAGTAACATTTCCTTCGACTATCAAATCGTCTTCAAAAGTTTTTGTGCCATATATCATCTGCACCTCATCAACATCATTAAGCACAAACTCAGATGGATAAATCCCATTGATTTTCCCTATATGCGCATTACCTAAAACATTGCGTGGAGCAAAAAATGTTAATCTTTCTTCATGTTTCTTTAAAAATTTTACATCTACAAATTTTAAAATCTTCCTAAATTCTTCTTTTTTAAAGTGATGATTCAAATACTTGTAGAAACATAAAATAATTTATTTATGAAGATTTGCATATTTCTTGATGTTCTTTAAATTATAAACTCATATATTTTTAATCTTAAATGAATAGATAAATTAATACTTTAAATTATATAATAATTACTATAATAATTTAATTACTGATTATTAATTTTTTGATCTCTTATTCTCTGATAATATTATCAATTAACTTGTCTAAGTGTTTTACCTGTTACTGTGACGACACCATTAAATTTCAAATCGCACGAGATGCTGTGATTTCCGGTGAGAGTAACACGGTTGCTGACGAACTCGTCGAAGTCTATCCCGTTCAAATTCTTTAGGTGTACGTCGTTCATCACTACAAGGTCCTCGAAGAAGACGTTGTCCGGCATAACGTCGTTGGTACGTACAACAGCGTTGATGGACGCGTTAAAATCGGCATCGTTCACGTGAAGTTTCTCGATTGTCACGTCCTTGAGGAATGTCAACGGACCGAGAATCGTTTCCTCGCGATTCCTTCTAACAGCCGAATCGTTAAACTTGAGAATATCCACGTCGTTGACTTTGGCAATGCCCAAGTCGCCGTTCACCACTAACTTATCCGCGATGAAATCATTTTCGAAGAATTTCTTCCCGCTGATCTCAATGTTTTCCCCGTCGTTGATCACGGCGTCCGATATTATGCGTTCGATCTCATTGATCTCGTTGTACGCACCGATGACCGTCCACGCGTGAACGTCCTTCGCGAAGGTCACTTTGCCCGTGATATCTTGGTCTCCGGTTTTGGTCACGGCGTTCTTCCACAAGTAAGATATCGAGGTAGGACTAGTCAAGGGCGTTTCCCAAGAAATATTTCCATCCACCTTTAGGAAATCGATATTTTTCACGGGAACGTGCAATAAGCTGTCGTATAACTATAAGACAAAAAGAAAATAAAAATTAAATTATTTTGTATAGAAAAAAATGTATAAATAAATAAAAATACTTAATAAAATAAAATTAACATTTAATGTGTATCTAACAATAAGAGATTATAGAATGGATCTTTATTTTTACCTCGCGCACATTACGTCCATTTAACTTCGAAGTAATCACATCGCCTTCGACAAATAAATCGGAGAATGTTACGTTGCCCGTGATCGTTAAAGGCTCGTCTATCCACATAAACTTCGAAGCGTTCTGTTGATTGATGAAGTTCATTGTGACGTTGTCGGAAGTGACAATGTGGGCCGAAAAATGTCCAGATATCTTTTGTTCCCTTGATTTCGAGAGCACATTAGCAAACAGTTCATCGAAATTTTGACCATGAAGAGATTCTAGAGTTATGTTCTCTACGATTAAGCTTTCGATGCTCTTCTCCGAAGTTATCATGATATCGCTTTGCCCCAGTTCTTCTAAGAAACTCTCCATCGATTGTCCATCCACTTGCCTAACCGTCAGGTTCTTCACTATCAAGTCGCCATCAATAACGATTCTGCTCAGATCAAAATCTGTCAGATTTTTTAATTGCGTCAGGAGATCCATCTTGATTCTATTCAACCTTTCCACTTCCAACTTCCGTACGTTGAATTGTGGTGTCTTTAAGGTCGCTATCTGATGATCATCGTTGAGGTGAAGCCCATCTTCGAAGAGAACCTCACGATCATTGAGAAGATCAATATTGAGATTGTCGACGAATACGCGACGCGCTTGAACAGTGAAAAGTTTCGTGGTTCCTGAGAAATTTGTTCGAATTCCATTCATGATGTCGTCAACATCGACGCCGTTGAAAGTCAAGGTAATGATATCTTCCGCTCGGAGACTTTGCAGATGCAATTGTTTTCGAATAATTAATTGATTCGATTCAACCTGGAACAAACTGTCGTGTGAATAATCGTTTTCATTGAAGAATTCGTCGACATAAAGATTTTCGAAGCGTAGATTGGTGAATTCGCTTGGTATTTCTTCCATTGTGGTGTACAAAAAATCGTTTTCCGTGAAACCATTGAGATACTTTGCATCGAGTCTGTCGATGGTAACGCCGTTTTTCAAAGTGATCTTTTCCGTGATTGTCTGATCGCCGGATTTCGTCCAGAAGTTGTTAAATAGGTCGTTCACATTTATTGGAACATCTTCTACAAAGAGCGTAGCTGCATTTTCGATTTTGATACTTCGAAGATGTAGATTACCGAATATCGTGACATTTTCGTAGATATGAAGAAACCGCTCGTTAAACATTTGCATCATAGATGTGTTCACATCAATCGTGAAATTTTCGGTGACGTGGAGATTCGCTAGTTTTAATTTACCTGTAATAATATACACAATTTTTCATAAAATATACGAATATTAAGCAGAATATTATTAAATATAAAAGAAAAATCTTTGGCATTAAAAAAATTTGCATATAATTCTAATAAATTATAATTTTTAATAAAAATTAAATATTTTTATATTAATATTAATATAAAATAAATAAACTATATATAAAACTGTAATATAAAATATATTTGTGATATAGTATATATGATATAAATTATATAATATTATCAATTATTAAAATAATCATGTAGATTGTCATAATTAATAGGTCAAATAATTTCGTAAATTACCCTTAATAATATTTTTGCGAGACTTCCTCGCAGCTTCCTCAATTGGTATCCCGTTAACCGTTTCAGCAAATAGATTGTCAATCTTCAAAACTGGTATATAAAAATCGTCAAAGGTCTGATTTGTTCTCGTTGTCATAAACTTATCAGCGGGAATACCATTCAACATCTGCGTTGTAAGGTTCGTAATATCCAAAAAGTTTTTATATGTAATTGTACCTGCGAGAAAAATGTCATGAATACAAAGTTTTGTTAATACGTTTTTTCATTCCTACACCTTTAAATGATAACCCGAATAAAAAATTGTTTTATTCAACCTTTAATTTTCTGGGTATGATTAATGAGGAATAGATTGTCGATTAATTCATCGACGATTGTTCCGTTCAAGCTTTTAATTTTCAATCTCGGTACTGTTAAATCAGAATGCACTATAATCGTGTCGTTTGAATATTCGATGGAGCTATTTGCGGCGGTAAATGTAATTCCTTCATCCTTTCGTAACATCCAATCTGCAACGCATCATTATTTACATTTCACGATAGAAAAAGAACGTGAAAAAAGAAAAAAACATTATACATATAACATAAATTATAGCAAATATATTCAGTCTTGACTCCAACTTACATTGGGATGGCACTCCACAGAGAGATTCAACTTCAAGTTCGTGTACAATAATATTTTCCACTCTCAACGGATGTGTAAAGTTTTGATTGCCTTTTGGTAGAATTACTTTTTCCGATAGCATCTCCGCATCGTTTACGATATCGATGTCCACTCGATCAATCTCCAGCTCTTCTAGATATGCATCGTCAATCACGATCTCGTCTTGCCACATTTCCACGTTCGTAATTATCATTTCTTTCTGCGCTTTCGAGCCTGCTGCAATCTCGTCAATATTGTGATCCAGCTCGTTCAGGACATCTTCAATCAAATGAGGTGGCAAGATGTCTTCTTCAGCCGTAATTTCAATGCTGTCCACTGTGCCGTGTTGAAAATTCAAATTGTCGAATTTCACTGGTTCCGTGATCGTCAAGTTCTTCGCGGATGGTAAAAGAATTTTCCAAGAAGCCTCGGCTTCCTTTATAGCCGGCATTCTTGCCTGCAACGTTTCGATCAGATCCGATAAGCATTTCCTCGTTGCATCAGTATCTTCGACAATATTTTCTATAATAGAAATTTTATTAAAATTTTTTTTATATCTAGAATTTGTAGCTAAAATTTTAGTTCTATAAGTCTTAGATTTGAGATTTACAACAATATAAAAAAGATAAGATATTAAAATTTTAAATATATCCTTTAACATGTGTGTGTAAACTAATAAATATAAAAAGATTAATTAAAGAAATAGATTAAAAAGATAAAATTTCAACATTCTTAATCCCACATATAATAAAAAAAATATCAAAATAATATAACATAGATAATATCTTAAACTTATTTTTATATTAGTAGCCTTTTCGTTGATACAAATGAAAAAGTATCAATTAAAATTATTTACCGCTTGGTACCGAAGTCATTTCAGCTTGCCATTGTTCCACCAAATATACATTCTTTTCCTCAATAATCAATATCACATTCATCGTATATTTATTCATTGATACCACCATATCAATTATTTTTTGGTCGTCTTCGAATTGTTTAACGTTTTCACTTTTCCAATCGGATGTACTATGAAATTTATATAACTGGATGATATTCTGTAAATCATTTGTTACAATATTATCATGTGTCATTTTTATATTTAAAAAAATTGAGTAATTAATTCTTTTACTTACATCGTGTGCTACAACTATAAAAGTATTACCATCTACATGGAAAATACTCATCAAGCTGTGTGGTTCAATCCCGGAAAGACTAAACCAATGCAACAGTTCTTGTCCTAAAAATATGTTTCAGTTAATGTTTTATTCGATGAAATAAGAAAAAATTTATATTTTCAAGAAGTACACCAACCATCCCAGCAGAGAACATTGCTTCGTCCTAACTCGTTTGTCATTAAGACAAAGTTGAAGTCGCCGTGGACATAGTGATGCATTGAAATCGGTCGCGTGATGGACAAAAATTGTATCCTCTCAATGTCACCGACTTTGAACTCGTACACCTCGGAACCGACCCGCGGATTCTCGGCTTCGTATTGCGCGAACACGATAATCGTCGATCGCCGTTGCTCGAACGCGGTGACTGATATCGCGCCGATCGTCATCACCTCGTCGACTACGTCCATATACGTACCGCTCCATCGATAGATACTGCGATTCGATAGAAGTTTGCAAGAAAAATAAAAATCCGAAAAAAATTAATCTCTCTTTCTCAGAATTTTTATATCTTTTTTATTGTATATTATACTGAATTAATTGTAATTGTAAGTATGTAAAACTCACATAGATGGCACGGAAAATTTGCCAGCATTATTGGCGATGACTAGATGAAGTTGATCGTCCTGTGTGAAAAATTTAGCGTCTACGGGAATTCCTCTGTGTCCGATGGTGTGGCGAAATCGCAATGTGTTATTTCGCGTTGCCGTATAAAGACTACACAAATCAGGCTCGTAACACAGTAATAGATAGGTAGTATCTTCCCACACAATGTTCTGCAACGAATGCATTAATTTATGTATTATAATATAATTAATACATTAATTAATGTATTATAAAATATAATTAATTTTATAAAGATAAAAATGAATATATTATAAATCTACACGTATTATATAAATATGGAATTGTATACAATTATAAAATATAAAGATAAATATGTAGAATATATATAAATGATCAAAAATACATTTTTTACAAGAGATATAATAGAAAATTGAAATTATCGATATTGATATTATTAAAGATGATTTAAATACCCTAACAAATTTAACAGGAGAAAGCTCTCCAATCCAGTCAACTTGATGTAACGCCAGATAAGTTTTGTTCCAAGAGGTCTGATTAAGAGAAGGTGCCATCACGCGATTGTCATCGAGGATGAATATTTCGTCGAATATATTTATCGTGAACGGTCTGTGCTCGCTTGTTAAAGGTACTCGCCATGATTTATTCCATTGTACTTTATACAATTTTTCGTGCACTGCAGAAAAACAGAATGCTTGTTACTCGACATAAAAAATCATATTAATCTAAATAGTATTATATATTAATTGTATATATTTTTGAAAAAAATTATCAAAAAAATATTTTTAATAAAATTAATTTTGAGAAAATATAGCTATCTAAAATTAAATTCATTACACAAACTTACCCGGCGATGTTTCCTGAATGTGAATCTTAATAAATTCTATCTTAGATTGCCGTAATTTCTCGTTCAGATATTCATTCAGATTTGTCGCGTGTATGGAAGAAAACTGGATAATTAAGGCACAGCCTACCACCTGCAACGTATTAGACATTAAAATAAAGAATGTAATAAATATCTTTGCATTTTATTGTTCACTGTATTTACATTAAAAAAGATAACGGTACTTACAAATAGAAAAAAGAGTTTCATGGTTTTGTGATTTCAATTACGGTGCCACCATTCACGGCAAAGGCCGTGCGAACATTGAGGGATTTCGAAAACTGTCTGCGGTATTTGGATGACCTTAACACATCATATACAAGAAATATGAGTATGGAAAATGTAAATATCTCAAATATATATACATAGATAAATCAATAATATTATGAAGCAGGAGCTACAAATATCAATGTATCATCTCGTCTTTAATTTCAAATCAAATCAATAAGTAAAATAAAAAGATTAAAAATGCGTTATAAATAAAATAATTATTTATATATAAATCCTGCATAATATAAATAATAATATATATAAATTTCCGAAAATAGAATAAGATATATTGTTTATATTATAAACATTTAATCTACATTAAAACTGCTATTTAAAACTGAAGAAAATGTAAAATTTATATAATAATGTAAATTCGAAAGATTGCGATTTTGATTGATTAAAAAAAAATAACATAAAATGCGTCAAAAACGTTAAGGAACAATAATGTCTGTGATGTGTTTTTTCATTATTATATATATGTATATGTGTGTCTTTTATTATATATATTGTCTAAACTTTTTAAAATACTTTCTAGTAAAATATATCGACGAAATAAATATACTCATCTTAAATATTTGCTCGATAAATCATTTTATATATCTTTTATAAAATATAAAATCTTTCATCAAAAATTTTTCAAAAATTTATTGTGAATAAGTAATCTATAAAATCTTTAAGGCACGCAAATAATGCATGATTAATCTTGACCCATAAAATTTCTGTATATCCTTGAAACAAGTTCATATAATGTGTGATAAAGTATGCGTATGTATATATATATATATATACAGGGTGTTATAAAAGTACCTGACGTTCAGATAGCCAGGAAAAAATCATAAAAACCCAGTACTTAACATTTTTTCTAGGACTCATATTTTTCGAGTTATTCTGCTGTTCCGGTACTTTTATAACACCCTGTATGTTTATGCGATTATATATGTATATATGCACTTTTTTCGAATTGCATACAAAAAATATATTTTTCAGTAGAATGTTCCCTCATTATTCTTATTAGTGCTTACAAAGTGTAATTAAAGACAGGAATTGACTTAAAATTATTATCATTAATTCGACATAAATAAATTGTCCAGCATAATTGAACAAAACAGGAACGAAAAATTACTCATTATACTCGATAATAAATTAGGGGTTATGTTAATATAAATAAATATTTCAATGAAATAAATACGACTACCACAATATTCTAGAAGACCTTGAAGGAGAAAAGGACTTCATTCGCATAAAACGCAGCAGATTCTCCTTCAGATTGCTCCGCGCAACATCAACGTACTCCGCTCGACATATTCGAACCTCGTCATCGATCGAAACGAACGTAGATCGCGCAAGCACTCAACATCCGCTTAGCGCATGCGCGAGCGCGGGAGCGCGCGCACGCGCATTGGTCCTCGGCGGGCGGCGTCGCGCGTTCCGATTGGCGCGCGAGCGTCTTGTCCACCAATCCGCGCGCTCCGATTCGATCCGACTCGCGCGACCCAGTTGCGCGTCTAATTACCGCGCGCTGCTGTCGCTCGCGCGCCGCAATCTGCCATCCGAAGCGGGAGCGGTCGGTTGATTTATCACGAACGCCGGATTCTCTCGTCCGCGTCGACCCAGTTAGTTATCCCCGGGACATTTCGTCGAACGGAGAATACATCGCGTCTCGAGGACGTCGCGCGAGAACCGCGCCGAAGAACGCGAAAACGCATATCGCGCAGCTGCGCGCGCGATTGCGAGCACGCACGCACGCGCGCGTGCCACAAGTGTCATATAAGTGTGTGCGTATATATGTGCGTTGGATCGTCGGGCGTCCGTGTATGCGACCGCGTGCGGGCGGTTCCCACACGACGTTGTCGTCCGTGCAACAAGTGTCAGGAGGAGGAAGAGGAGGCGGAGGTGACGGCGATCGCTTGAACTGTGCGGTGGTGTGGAATACGTCGTGCATGGTGGATCGGTGTGCGTGACAGATCGGTTGACGGCTCGGGACGGCCGCCGTAAAAAACACCATCGTTGTCGTCATCGGGACCTGCTGACGGGAGATCGCTCACCGGCAAGGGCGCACCGGGATATGGGCTGCGCCGTGAGCACCACCGGCGAGAAGGAGGCCGCCGAGAGGTCCAAGAAGATCGACAAGGACCTCCGCGCTGATGGCGAGCGGACCGCCAGCGAGGTCAAGCTCCTGCTGCTCGGTAAGCTGGCTCTTCCCTGGGAAGCCTCGGTGATTTTCCAGAGTCCTCGGATATCCTCTTTCGATGGGAACGGATGTAATGCCTCTGCTTTCGTATTCCGGTTCTGCGGAAGACGATGGGAAATTTGCATCCCCTACTCGCGTGATGGCGAGGTCTTTCTCTCTCTTTTTCTCTTTCCTTCTCGCGCTTTCTCTCCCTCTTTCTCTTTCTATTCGCACCTCGCCTCGTATATCGGACATAGCCGTCGAACGCTCCCAAAGACGCCGCGTAAACCGTGATCCGTAGAATTAGTCCGTCCCTCTTAGCTACGCTTTCCTGCGGATTTTTCGGTCTCTTCCTCGGATAATCGCAGATACAGTCTTCCTTAGAGAGTAACGTAGTATAGGTACTCTTAAAAAAGCTGTAGATTTATTATTTTATTTATTTCATATACACAACTACATATATTTTTGACAATTAATAATAATTAATTTTTAAATAGTTTAAATAGTAATTTTTTTTAATAGATTTTATTTTCCGTAGGGGAATTCTATGTCTTTTCCCGAATCATAGACTCGTATTTGTACTGGAAAAAGAAGATAGGAAAGGCGTGTGGTTGCCCCAGATGGCCCTAATTTAGGAGACGAGCACTTTCCTAATGTCTCGGCGACGCGGTGTCTTTCGGATTTAATAACACTTTCGATTGCGCGAACCTCTGCGGTATCCTTTTTCAGCTCTCGAGTTCTTCCCGCAATGTATGTGTATGTGTATGCGTCATGTTTCACGTGGCTTCCACTGTTAAAACCTAGTCAACGCTTGTGAAATTGCTTTCGTTCTTTTGTGCATCAGAACCACGATTAGTTTCTCCGCTAATGAGATTTCTTCAACAAAAAAAAATACGGAGCGTTCCAAAGCCATTCTTTCAGCCTATAGTCACAAAATATCCATAATTAAATTTCTGTACAGCTCAGAAATTTAATTCACTGTCATGGACTTGAAAAAAATTTATAATACTTCAACTATACAATTTAAAATGTATATATTATATACAGGGTGTTATAAAAGTACCGGAACAGCAGAATAACTCGAAAAATATGAATCATAGAAAAAATGTTAAGTACTGGGTTTTTATGATTTTTTCTAGGACTCTAATTTTTCGAGTTATTCTGCTGTTCCGGTACTTTTAAAACACCCTATATATGACATATTTTTTAGACTTGAATTAAAGATTCAAAATATTCCTGTATATATATTTTTTAACATATTTAAATTATTTAATCTTCTAAAATTCTTATTAATTCTTATTAAGATTCTTAATAAGAATCTTATGAAAATTCTTATTAAGATATTTAATATTAATAAAATTTAATTTAATTTTAATCATTCGAAATTAAATATATTGACAATTATATTAAGTCAAATAATTAATATAATAAGAAAAATAATTAATATCGTCATTCAAAGAATTTCGACATTTTTGCAAGTTTTTATCTTAGAACGTACAAAAAAGTTTGAAAAACCGCGAATGAATGAAACGCGTGTGTTATTACGGGAAACTTGAATCATCAGCCGCGTGTGAATCATGAGATTACGTCTCTTTCAAATCCATGCGAATTATATCTTGCTTAAGGAAAAAAAATTACTTTTCTTCGAATGAGAACGAGTGGTCTCCGATAGGATGACTGGCTGAATCGCGAATCAATCGAACGAAACTCTACAATGAAAAGGTCGATGATTAATCGGTTAATTAGATTCGTTTATGTATCTAATAAAATCTCTCAAGTGTGAGTATATTGCACACACGTACGTAGATTTAAATTAATTCAAAATTTACTGTCAGTCATACGTCAAATAAATACGAATTAATCATGCATGATGTGATAACAATTTTAATTATTATGTCAATAGGAAGGCTTTCAAGTTTCTCGATCATATAACATTCATTCAACTTTATTTACATTTCATCCAGTAATTATGACTGAATCATCACCGAAAAAAATTTATACATCTCATGCTTGTAATAATCACTGGTTTAATATACATATTTAATTAAAATTCAAGGTGCTGGCGAGTCTGGCAAATCCACGATAGTGAAACAAATGAAAATCATTCACGAGACCGGCTACAGTAGAGAAGAATGCGAACAATACACAAAAGTAGTGTACAGCAATACAATACAGAGTTTAATGACAATTATCAGAGCTATGGGGGAGCTGAGGATTGATTTTGCTGATCCCAATAAAGCGGTAAGGTCTTTGTATCTTTTTATTAAATTGATGTGAAAGATGTATCATATAATATAGATACATGTAAAATCAATATTTCACACACTTTCAATGTTACTTTTTTTTTAATTAAAATATTGTCACTGTGTGTTTTTAATATTTTTTTTATGTATAGAAAGTAAATTTGTAATTGTTTTTTCTTTCTTAAACTCATTAATTTATTTTTATTTGAAACAGAATTCGAGAGGAAGACGATAAATCTTTTTTGCATCGACATTTAACAACATCGCTTATTAATGGCACTTTGTCAACTTACTCGTGCCCCACTGACATTAAATAATATCGGCCTTGTGTTTGTGTTGTAGGATATGGCACGACAATTTTTCACCCTCGCATCAGCGGCAGAGGAGGGTGAGCTAACTGGGGAACTGGCGTTATTAATGAAACGATTATGGCAGGACGCTGGTGTGCAGCTCTGTTTCACGCGTAACAGAGAATACCTGCTCAACGATTCGGCAGCATATTACCTTAATGCACTTGACCGCATAGCACAACACAATTATATCCCGACGCAGCAAGATGTTTTACGAACGCGTGTCAAGACTACGGGAATCGTGGAGACGCATTTCTCCTTCAAGGGTCTACACTTCAAGTACGTTTACCGCGTACTTTATTTGTTATTTTCAAAGAAAACTTACTTTAAGATCTTTAATTAGTATTATGTCAAATAATGAATCATTTCTAAACGCGCTATTTCTGTAATATATTTTGTAAAGATGTTACAAAAAATATTACATTTTAATACATAAAGAGAAAATTTTCACTTAATAGATATAATTTTTCCATACAACAAAAATATTCATTAAAATTATATATTTTTAATTATATTTCTTATTTTTTTATAGAATGTTCGATGTCGGTGGTCAACGGTCCGAGAGAAAAAAATGGATTCACTGTTTCGAAGGGGTCACCGCAATCATCTTTTGCGTCGCTTTAAGTGGTTACGACCTAGTGCTGGCAGAGGACGAGGAAATGAATCGTATGATAGAGTCGATGAAGTTGTTTGATTCGATTTGCAATAGCAAATGGTTCGTCGAAACGTCAATTATATTGTTTCTGAACAAAAAGGACCTATTCGAGGAGAAGATTACCAAAAGTCCGCTCACCATCTGCTTCCCGGAGTACAAGGGTACCAACACCTATGAGGAATGCGCCTCCTACATTCAGATGAAATTTGAGAATCTGAACAAGAGGAAGGATCAGAAGCAGATTTACACGCATTTTACGTGCGCCACAGATACGTCCAACATACAATTCGTGTTTGATGCTGTAACAGACGTGATAATCAAGAATAACTTGAGTAATTGCGGTTTATTAAGCTAAGTATTCAAATACTCGATCAGCGTAAACTGTCGGAAAAACAGTATATATTTCAACACATGTTGATGACTCGTAGATCTTAACAAACGGAGGAATGATAAAGAGACTGATCGAAAATTCTAAAGTATAATACCGCGTATCGTTTACAAACATGAATATATAAATATTCGATTAATAATCGATGATTTTACAGATTAGGCTTTGAAGTATTCTATTAGAGTATGACGTAACTATATAATTTCATAGTTTTTAATTAACTATCCTTTGTACAAAATTCGTAAATTTGTCGGAGTTTCTAGTATGCAAATATATTTTTTAATTTATTGGTTTTTGGATTTAATTAGATATAACAAAGTATTCTCAAATTACGAACAAATGATTTTACAGTACTCGGGAATCAAATGTAAAGATAAAGCATTTCACATTATTGTCAAGAATATTCTTTTTTTTATGCACTGTGTTCAAAACTTTGTAGTAGTTATATTTTTAGGAAATTAAACATTCACATGCATTGATACGATTAATTGTAACTTCTAAAAATTTTCAGCTCGTGACAAATAATTTTGTAACTTTTCTAATGTATCTTTTTTTAATAATCTTACTTGACAATAGATAAAATGAATTATATACATTTTAATTAATCACATTCAAAATCAAATTATATTAATGTACGCAATTGTTTAGTTTTTTCATAAATATAATTATGCGAAGCAATGCGTAGAAGAAAAATTGAGACAATAATGTTAAATATATAAATATACATATAGCGTACACTTACTTCCGATTAAGAAGAGCAGATAAAGTGTTACTTTGTTTTTGCTAAATGTATATGTTTAACTATACTAACCAAGAATTTTAGATAGCTATTAATTTAGTAATACTTTTTGTATATAATTTATTGCATTCACTAAAAACAATTATGCGCTAAATGGAAATGCGTTTCCATGTTTCTGCTCATATCCATTTGCATTTATGACAAATAGAAATTCAATATCTCAACGACGAACACGGCTCTCTGTGTTTCTATTTCTACAGTATATATTTATCAATTTGAGAAACAATTTTTTTATACAAGCTTCATTTTTTATACATGTATTAATAAGTAATAAAGCCGAGATCGTTCTTATTTCTCGATTTATCGAACCAATATAATGATAATATTAGGCATTAGTACAAGACAAGTTCAAATCAAATTTCTTTATACAGTTTAGATCAATAAATGAAATTTTTTTAAGATTTAACGCCTTCTCCCTTCCCGTCTGATCTCTTTATTATTTATAGATCATTCAATACATATATACATGTCCAATGTTTTACAGCTTGTGTACTAGGTGAGGACTGATCTAATAAAACGCATCAACTACGCACGCGAGTGTGAGAGATGCGTATTGGTGAGGTGCTGTAGGATAAAAGTTATATTATAGATTAGTGTGTAAGAAACAATTTTCTCTACATCACTATACATTATTTTTGTTATAACTTTTTTTTACACATATGTATACGTCCATTTTCCCGCAATTAGAGCCACCTTTACGCAAATAAGCTAAAATGAAAATTAAGAGTATTATAATCATATATACAATTGATGATAATTAACATTTTGACTGTCACGTTTTTTAACGTCGTACATATTTTCGAACGTAAATTATGATGCTGAGTAATAATTTCTGCTTTTATCCTGTTTAATGCATTTGCATTCGTTCATTATGTGTAACACGACAGTCAAAATGATAGAACATTTATGTATCGTGCATAATAAGGAACATAGTACATATTATATGTTTCCTAGAAAATAATAAGAGAGTTTAAGGAAAGAAATAGGATAGGTGGGTATGTTGGACCCATCGGGACGGACGTTTTAGAAATTTCATGGAATGTAAAATAGGAACTTTAAAATTAAGAGAGAGCTAAATAAAATTATATATAAAAATATCTTAGATTGTAGCTAAACTAGCCGCCTTTAAAATAATCAAACTCATGGATAACTCCCACTTGCAAAAAAAGGCAAATTATGCATGTATAAGAATATATATATGTATATAGAACACTTGTGTGAGAATACTGCTGCGTTTGAGTCTATCCTGTTCCTTCTGTCGTGCTACATATAATCATTTGTAAAATTAAGCTCCTTGGAGTTTTTTTGGTACACTTAGACTATTACGATACTGCGAAGAAACTCCTAAAACTTTATAGAAGCGATACTAACATCAAGAATTACATTTTAAATTATATACGATACAAGCAGAGACAACTAGAACATTACCGCAAGTACCTCGCCATTTAAACTTGGATCATTAATTTTCTGATATATTCAATTTTATAACTTTCAACGCACGTTACGAACATACATATTAAATCTGTGTGTCACATCAACAACCATAAATTGATTGGATCTTTGAAAATACAACAGTTTCTCGCATCACCAATGTGTGAAATGGAGATATCAACAAGATTAATATCCATATTATCATCAACAAGCGGAAGATACGATTCGGCAAGCTCAAAAACAGCCCCTATCAGTACAAATCTACAATTATCGAAAATAATTATTTCCGACTTGATGATTCCATTCTTAGAATAATCACAGAATAGATTTCTAACTATTCTACGCGAATCTGGAACTTAGTTTGGAAGCGAGGACTCATCATCAATTATGTCGACTTGTCGTTATTAACTTCATAAATAATACGCGTATTAGAACGTTAAATAAATGTACCGGATACTTAGTGCTGAGAGCATTTATCTTACGTTCCTTTTTTACTGAGGATTTCTGGCCGGAATGGGCGGCCCGCCGGTGGTTCTCGCTGGAACGGGTGGCGGAGCATTCGGCGGAGGTAGACTCGGCGGTGGATGCTGAGGAGGCGGCGGGGCTTGCCTGTGCGGCAAGGGAGGAGGTATCGAGCTAGGCGGGGGTCTCGACGGTTCCTGAGGCCCGTCCATACGCGGTAAAGGTGGCGGTGGCCGGTTTGGTACGGGATAACTAGGCGATCCGTCTGGTATCTCTTCGTAGATGGCAGAGTCAGGCGACAATCTCTCGTCTTCTTGATCCTCTTCCGCTTTATTTACGCCTGGTTGTGTCATGGGAGCCGCAAACTGATTGGGAACCACACTGAAGACACCCGCTCGCGGTCCCTTTCGTTCGTGAGCGGGACTTTTCGGTGGTTGAGATGGTCGTCCCGGTGGCGTCGGCCTCGGCGGTGGCATCACGCCGTTAGGGCTACCTCTGCTGGGAGAGAGGGGCACCGGTCGTTCGGCGATGTCCAAATGTTCTAATCGTTGCATGGGACTTCTCAACGGCGAATTTGCTGTGAACTGCGCCACCGTGGTGTTGCTGCAGATCTCAATCTCCTTCTCGATCAGTTCCACCCAGTTGGGTGATTTCAGCGACAGCTTCAGCGTCTGGCCGCATACTTGTGTCATACCCTTCTTCGCCGCGGCCAGGGCACACTGGCCGTCTCTGAACGTCACCCAGATGGTCTCGCCGACGTAACGGACCAGGATGGCCTCACCGATATGAGACAGATCCTGTATCAGCGCAAACATGAGATTGTTGTCGAACACGCTGTCCATATCCTCGACATCCTCCACTGCCTTGACTATTATCGTGCCATCGGGCGGACCCAGATCCTGTATCACTTCCTTGAACACGCGCTCACGTTGCTCGGGATCGACACAATGTATATCTATGTCGATCGTAGCGAGCACCGGACGATGATCGCTCTGTTTCAATTCCGCTCTACCGTAATAAACGAGTTTTCCCGGATTCCAATCTGTAGGGGAATCTAAAATATAGCACCATTGATAAATACAATTATATATTTAATATATTGAATATAAATAGTTCCAAAAAAACTAACCAATATCAGGTACTTGTTTTCGACGTTTCCAGAGAACTCTATCCGTCCATGCGGGTTGACGACACTTTCACTGGTGTCATAATCATCGGAGAACAGATCGTATTTATATGTAGGATCGAAAGTGATAGGCCCTTCCAAGAAATTCTTGAAAACATTACCCTGTTCTTGTTGAACCTTAAAAAAAAAACAATTATATTATTAATTTTTAAATAGATCAAAAATTTATTCCTACGCGATTCTGACACTAATAAATGAGAAAATACTCTTTTTTTAATTAACTCGATATGATACAATACCCTTAATTGGTCGTATTGCAATATCTGATCTAGTTCGTTCCGTTTAATCATTTCCTTCATCTCATCTTTGTCCATGTCGACTCTGTAGTTGAAATCTCCGCACCAAAATACATAATCGTGTGTATTCAGGGTTCTGCCCATGGGAAACGTTATCTTTCTCGTGATCTCGGCATAATCAGCATTGCGTTCGTTCACCTGCGATTGGCCGGCGGCGAAGTGCGCGCATACGAAGCAGAAAGACGTGGAATAGAGCACGCATCTGATCGCCGCGGCGCCTTTGTTTCCGGTTGCTCCTCCCAATCCCGTTTTCACGCAATCTACCGCCACATCTCGCAGATACGGCGCATGCACGGGTCGTATGAACAGATATAGACAGACGCCGACCAACTGCTGATATGTCACAAGAACGTATTCCGTATCCTTACACAGGATTTTCTGCAGCTCCTCAGCCCAAGCTTTTGCGTTGTCCGAACTTGCAGCCATGATATTGCTAGCGTTCAGATCGACAATCTCCTCGAATCCAATTGCAAATATGTCTACAGGAGCTTCATTTTCCGCGTTCTCATGCTCCAGGGATACCAAGGCTGAATAAATGATTAGAGATTTAATTATAAAAAAGAACTTTTGTATATCATATTTTTTATAATAATTCGGCATTCTCAGTAAGACAATACTTACATGATTTACCCGGTCCATCGAATAACCAATCAGCCAGAGAAACATCTTTGTAAACTACACTTCTAAAATGCTTTCCTCCGTTAACGTTGTAAGTGCCGACGCTTATTCTGAGAGTCATCGTATTCACGTATTCGTTGTAGCGCTTGCACATCTCTCGTAGAAGATTTGGCGCGGCGTGTAACATGTTAGAGGGTAATAACAAACGTGCTCTATCAGCAAGTTCTGTGTTTAACGTCGAACCTAATAATAAAATATCGATCGCTTCCTGCTTATTGGAATCTAGTAAATTATTTTGTATCGTTCTGGCTGCCGATCTCGCACCGTCCATCAGCTTAGAACTGCCTTGGATGGCACCGGTGCCCGCGTATATCTTGCTGACCTCATTGCCATTGTTGATCCACATCTGGCGAAATACTTCCTCGAATCTCGAGACCATCTGCTGCTTCTCCATCAGTTTCAACAGACTCATCTGTTTACCCAGCATCTCGAGCGCGAAGAACGTTTGCACGCAATTTGTTCTGTCCAAGCAATCTAGACAGTTGGTCCTGATAGTGCCGGTTTGCTCGAGAATTACAGTATTGCCGACCGCGTAGAACATGGAGAACGAATCCAAGTATTTTTCCACCTTCGCCTTCAGCTTCGACAGATTCTTCATGTTTCCACCACGGCATTCTTGATGATAATCGAATATGATATGTGGCACGTCCTTGTGCTGTGACATATTGTGATGGGTTTGAAACAATTGACTCAGCATCGCCTCCCCTTCCTTGCTGCCAATTAGACTAGAGCCAAGGAGATTGACGATTACTTGTTGGCCATACCGTTTCTTGATCATCTCTAGATGCCTGTCGAAAGCGGGCGCAGAAGTCTCGAAGCCACGTGAAATTTTTACTTTGTGGGAACCAACTTGTATACCTGGCTGTTCCCAGACCAATGGAACCGAACCTCTCGTCTGAACATAAGACGTTACTTCATTGTCTATGTAAATCACCTGTTCTGTTTCCACAAAATTCGCCACATGTCCATCGTCATTGGTTCCTCTAACATTGAATCTGCATAAAAGATATTTATACAATTTTAGAAATAAATAATCTAGTAATACGAAATATCATAGTTAATCAGGCCATATGTTTGAGTAATCTTGTTTTATATCGGTAGCAATGTATGCGTGTGATTATGCTTTAGCCACATGTTCATTTCACGAGATAACTTATCAAGCTTATCAAATATTTCCTGACATTTGACAAATAAAAAGTTAAATCATCCTATATTTTATCATTAAATAGAGGAAATCAATCTTACCTAGTGCCAGCACGTTCGCAACTTAATCTAGACATAAGCACTGCTCGTGCTTGTCTGTGTCCAACATAGACAGTTCTAATTTCCACACTACCACACATTGCTTTCAACAACCACTGACTTGTATCTACGCCATATCTCAATAGATGAATGTGTAACATCCGATTCCTATAAATGATTTACAAGATTAAATTTTAATCTTGTTTCTATCTCGTATTATAAAGTAGTTTAAAATTCAGGTCTGAATTATGAACAATTTTTATTACAAGAAATTAGTATAAAATGAAAAGATGATTTGTACCAACCAGAAGAACCTATTATCTGTAGTCGTTGATTTGCATCTTCTTTGAGCACTTAGGGTAATATCAAGCCAGTCCTGTCCAGCGGACCAGGAGAAGTAAAACGTTCCAGAATTCAGAACCTTTCTGACTTCGGACACACGATCCTCCGTTCCCTGACTGTAGAACAGCGGTATAAAACCAGATTGTGTTATTCGGAAGACCTCTGACTCTCCTATCTTTCCTACAGAGAAGCATCCAGTAACCAGAACAAGATACAACAGCGTATTCTCTCCTGCGTTCAGCTGCAGGACACCCAGGCATCCGTACGCATCCAACAATTTTGTATACTTTGGCTTGAGGAACTCGTGCTCTTCAGCGGCTGTAAATTACAATGTGGATGTAAAATTGTTGAATTTTTAATTATCGTTAAAAATAGTTGCTGCAGGACAGTCGAAGCGAACCGGGCACCAGAAAACAAGGCAGTTTCTAATAATACTTACAAAGGACCGCGACCGCCTGCGACTCGAAGAGCAGCGTCTCCTTGCGATTTCGTTGCTCGAGTATGACCGAGTGCGGCTTGGGGGAGTCCAGCTTCTCATAGACGCGAAAACCCTTGCCCATCGCCATTGTTGCGCGGCGGTGTCCTTCTGTTACGCGTGGCAACGATTCGACACTGCTCTACGGCGAAATGACAGCTTGAGCTGTCATACAAGAGCGCAAACAACGACGACGAACACTCGAAGCATCCGCTGATCGCGGCGACTGAAGGAATTCCGCTGTTCACCGTCGACGATACGCATCATTCAAGATCCGCTGACAGCCGGAAAAAGTGACAGTGTCCTACTAGCGCCACCTGTCATTTAAATTTAGATAGACGAATAGGAAACAGAAACTCGCGGAAAGAGATATGTGTGTGTGCAAAGTTTGTGACATCGATATTAAACATTAATTTATGTCGAGAAGATGCATATACGCACATATATGTATAAACAGATGTTGTATTCTTCGGAAAGAAATGTCATAGAAAAAATGCAATAGGATATTATCACACGTACGATTAAAATACACGAGATATGTCTCGTTGTCATTGCACGCAATTCGAGTTGTAATATTGCTTTGATCCAATATTACATATTCTGAGCATTTGTGCTTTATAATTGCGTTTTACATGCTTGACTGCGTTAAATGTTACCGCACAACACTGCTTTAATTAAAGAATTTTTCGTACATACGCAATTATTGTGGCGAGAAAGAGAGAGAGAGAGCGCGTCTTATTGCGACTTTGAATCGACTTTGACCTTTAGGCGGCGCTGGAATGCAGCACGTCACGGGTAACGTGACAGGCGTGGAGTGGGGGGGGGTCACATGACAGCGCGGAGTGGGGGAACAGCTGCGCACACTTAGAACATTCCACTGCGCAGTACGGTGAAGCGAGAGAGAGAAACATCTCTCTCTTTTTCTTTCTGAAGATGTTTTCGGAAAATTATTTTCTTTTTAGGAATATATGTGTCATCTACACATGTGTGTGAAAATATTTTAATAATATATTTATAAATTAAAAAAAATTATGCGCGAATGAGCAGTGATTTTTATAAGTCGAAAAAATATTTGACATTTTTTAGTTTATTGCGAAATGGTGTTTGTAAAGTAAGTGTCGCCCTCTGAAGGAATGCAGCCGAATCTCTTTCTCTCTCCCTTTCCTTTTCTCCGTTCTGCGTCCTATCTATGACACTTTTTTCGATGACAGTTAGACAGCAAAATAAGTAAAGATGTCGATCACCGTGGATTCTGTGAGAGAAAAAGCTCTTCAAGATTATAGGAAGAAGCTTTTAGAACATAAGGAGGTCGAGTCACGTCTTAAAGAAAGTAAGATACTCTTTCGTGAATATTGTGAATTTTATGTATTTCTCATTTGCAAAATATTCGAGACTTATAACCTCACATTTCCTTCTACTGTCATTGAACTTTTCTCACTTATACCGTTAAATGCATTCTTTTTAATTATGCCAATACATTAATATACTTTTTTATCACATTTTATATTATTATAATAGATTTATAAAAAGAATATATAGTTGTGATATTATATTGTACTTTATTTCTCTAGTGAGAGAACACCTTAAAGATCTGACAAAGCAATATGACAAGTCAGAAAATGACTTAAAGGCGTTGCAAAGTGTTGGACAGGTAGAATAATTCAGTTAAATCAATAATTAAATGAATAAATCAATAATTCATTATCTTTATTCTATTTTTAATCTTTAATTTTGCAGATTGTTGGGGAAGTATTAAAACAACTTACAGAAGAAAAATGTAAGTATAATTAATTTATATATAAGTAAAAGAATATATAAGTTGATTACATATTTAATACTAACAATAGTTATTGCAATAATATTCTTATTTATATTTAATAAAAACAAATTATATGTAATTATAAAAATAGATATAAATTTTTATTAAATATATAGATAAAGTACAAATTAATAGATTAAATGAAAATAACTAATAACTAATAATGAAAATAAAATAATTCATTTATTTTTAGTCATTGTAAAAGCTACAAATGGTCCGCGTTATGTTGTTGGATGTCGGCGTCAATTGGATAAAAATAAATTAAAATCTGGAACTAGAGTTGCTTTAGATATGACCACTCTTACAATCATGCGCTATTTACCACGTGAGGTAAAGGAATTTGCCAATTAATCTTTAAATTAGATTAAATATTTTTTATCTGAAAATTAACTTTTTGTTGACCTTTTTATCTAGGTTGATCCATTAGTTTACAATATGTCTCATGAAGATCCCGGTGATGTGACATATAGTGCAATTGGTGGTTTGAGTGAGCAGATACGTGAATTGCGCGAGGTTATAGAATTGCCATTATTAAATCCTGAGCTTTTCCAAAGAGTTGGCATCACTCCTCCCAAAGGATGTTTGTTATATGGTCCTCCTGGCACTGGAAAAACATTATTAGCAAGAGCCGTCGCCAGTCAGTTAGATGCAAATTTCTTGAAAGTCGTTTCAAGTGCTATTGTTGATAAATATATCGGAGAATCTGCTAGATTAATTAGAGAGATGTTCAATTATGCTCGCGATCATCAGCCTTGTATTATATTTATGGACGAAATTGATGCTATTGGTGAGTATATGTAAGATAAACAAAGAAATATGTTAATTAAAAGATTTTTATATGGATAGATTATTAATATTAATTTCAACATACATATATATAGGTGGCCGCAGATTTTCGGAAGGAACAAGTGCTGATCGAGAAATTCAGCGAACCTTGATGGAATTGTTGAATCAAATGGATGGATTCGATTCTCTGGGTCAAGTTAAAATGATAATGGCTACAAATAGGCCTGATACCTTAGATCCCGCGTTATTACGACCAGGAAGATTGGATAGAAAAATTGAAATACCACTACCTAATGAACAAGCTCGTTTAGAGATTTTGAAAATACATGCCTTGCCAATTGCCAAACACGGCGAAATCGGTAAGAAATTTGTTTCCAGCTATAAGTTTTACAATTTTACACATTTTAAATATTTAAAATATAATTGTTATTTATAAATCTACAGATTATGAGGCAGTGGTGAAATTATCAGATGGATTCAATGGTGCTGACTTGAGAAATGTGTGCACAGAAGCTGGACTGTTTGCAATACGATTAGAAAGAGAGTACGTGATACAAGAAGATTTTATGAAAGCAGTCAGAAAGGTTTCAGACAATAAGAAACTCGAATCCAAACTAGATTATAAGCCTGTATAATTCAATGTATAAATTGATTTGCTATTTTATCTCTCAAAAGTGACATTAGCTGTCTATTAATTTCAATATGATCCAATTTGGATTGTTCATTATTATTTTGCCATATTATTTTTTCCCTTCCTGATAAAATTAATTTGTGCAAAAATTTACTCAATATTAACAGTAGATTTGTATGATAGAAATAATACATAATCGAATATTATTAATGTAACAAATATATCTCTATTTCTGATTTCAATCATTGCAATGTTTTTGCATATTTTATACATTGTATTTATAATTATAATGATATTATAATCTATTCTACAATGCTGGCAAGTCGAATTTTTTCCTTTCTAGATATTCTTGTACATTGTCATATTTTCTTTTATATAAAATTGGAAACAAATTTTGTTTAATAATAGTATTTTTCAGAGTTTCCCAAGATTTATTAAGACGCTTAATTGTATGATTCAGAGCATTATGATTTACAAATCTATTATTTTCGAATTTGTATACTTCTAATCCCTCATCTACTAACACCCATAAATCTTGTTTGTACAAATGACATTCTATAGGTTCAGCTTTAATAGTTATGGATTCTAAACAATTTACTTCAAACTGTGTTTCATTGCTACTAGTAATGTTATAAACTAATAATACTTTACTACTATAAAAGCTTATTACAACTAAAGATTCCATTTTACTAAGATAAGACATTCTCAGATGTTTAACAGGCAATATATCTACAGATTCGTCATAATTACAATCGCGAAGATTTTGATTAAATTTCTCAATGTCATATTTTGATATTTTATCGCAAAAATCTACAGATATCAGTTCAGTTCCACGTTTATAATCCCACAATTTAAAAACCCCATCGCCACCACACGATATTAAGATACTTTTCTTGTGAGGTAGTTCCGAGATGTTTGTTACAAATTTTGTGTGTCCTAAACAGTAAGACATAATGTTGTAGCAATTCGGAAACATAGAAACTCTGATCTTTTCGTCTCTGTCGGTTGTCAAGATACATTTCCTGTCCTCCGTAATGAGTACATCAAGAAGCATCGACAGGTGACCCAAGATCAAAGCTCCAGTATCCGCTGGCGAGCTGGTGGAAAACAGGTACGCGTCTCCAGCCTTGTCAGCAACCACAATGTCGTTGTTCGAGGAGAATCTCACTCTGCTGGCAGCTCTGGCGAGTGTTCGATTTGACAAGAGCCTCGAATTCCTCGTCTCGTACAAACACAGCTGCTTGCGATTCGTGCACACCGCAAAGTACCCTCCATCCTCCGAGAACGTCACGGACGTTATCATATGATAAGTCTCGATATCAGCATTGTTGTGTACGTCTATCTTCCTGTCTGTTTCCAAATCGGGCAGGATTATCGTATTTTCAGTGCCACTGTCAACATTGTGTATTATCACGCGTTCGTTGTTGCACAAGGCTACGTATGAGTCGTGCGCGGAAAAACTCATACCTAAAATGTAATTAATTAATTCATTCATTCATTCATGTAATTAATTTGTAAATAATCGTAACTGTTAAAATAACGCGTTTTTCAATAATGAATTATTTCGTGTACGATGAGTCGTACACAAAAAAAACTCATACCTGGAATGTTTGTAATTAATTTGTAAATAATTGTAACTCTCAAAATAACGCGTTCTTCAATAATAAATGAAATAATTTTTTTTTAATATGTCAAATGTCAACACGAGAAACTTGACAGGTTATGCGGCGTGTTTCGCACAGCAGCGCTACTCGCGTCACTTTTAGCAAACTTTTAGCGATTTGGTCGATAATGCAGCGGTGCTACATTACCGATCTGGTCGAAATAAATAGTGTGCGTACGTATATATCGTATATATACGCACACATGTATGACTCCGCAAATCGGAGCGAAGCCGATCGAATGTGTCTGTAGTTCGCTCGGGACTTCGAAACACGAACGGGCAGGTGACAGTTCGGGCTTATCGTACCTTGTTTTTTTTTCGCGCCGAAAAATGACAGCGCTCGTCCATCGGGCGACTACGCGCCGGACGATATCATAGATGCGATTCGGGCTATAAATATCGAAATAAAACCGCGCGGCGGGATTTAAATTTGGATCGTAAATCGGGCGGAACAGCCGGCTCGACGAGGCATCGAACAGGGGCTATTTTAAAACGGATATCGGAGGGAGACTTTTTATGACAGATTCGGCGCGAAGGGACGCGTCCGCAATCGACGTTTCCTAGGACAACCTTCGCCGTAACGTCATTCTATAATGGGGATAATACTGTCGAGATTTCGGGTGAGTGTATGCACACAGCTGAAAAGCCCGAAGAGCCTCCAGTTTCTCCCTTGACATTTCGCGTTCTTTGAGGTTAGCATCGCAACTTTGTGATATGTGAGCGATACGCGAGGAGGTATCTTGCAACATCCTGCGAGGTTTAACTTCACGGATGCAACCGTGTCGAATGATCGCTGAGTAATATTTTTAAATGTCATTCATGGCTATTTATAGCATCCGTTTTATGCCGGATGACGACAGTCTCAAAGTTGCAAAGGCTGTTGGACTTGGCGCGAAACGAGGCTTTGTTTAAATGTAACTGTGCGAACGAAAAATGACGTAATCGTTTATTTATATTTGAAATAAATGTATATATTGTTTTTGGCCGGTTTTAAAAACTCTTATAAAAATCGCAAGCTTTTAAAATTTCGTCGTTATATGATATAATGTCATCGTTACCGCCATTTCATGAGTAAACAAAATTGGTTGTTCAATTTATTCTGTAGTGATATTGTGAAAATCAGACATTAACATTCAATGACGAACTTTGCTCTGATTCAGATATGTCACAAAGGAAATTATGGATTCATGAATGGTATGATGTATAAATTGAAATCGAATGATTTTAATTTATGCAACATATATTTACTAAATATTGAATTATTAGTCTTACTTTTTAATCACAAATATTAATTTTGCAATTAAAGATAGTTCTTATCAAATATATTTAAAAATATAAATTATAACTTTGTAGATAAAATATATCAATGTTATAATATTATTAATTATTAATTAAAATAGATTATAATATAAAATAAAAAAGTTTATATATATAAATACGAAATTTAGGTAGAAGAAATGGGCTAATAATAAAAATCAGGCTTGTTTTTAACATCTTTATTTTACAAAAAATTCAAAACGAAGATGAGATGAAGAACAAAAAGCAAATAAAATATAGTCAACGATATATAAAACATCAAATAATGTTGTTTACAAAATTATTTGCTATTTTGTATATGCTCGAGGTCATATAACGTACGCGATTTTTGCTTCTTTATCTCGTCTTCGATCATTTTGAATTTTTTGTTAAATAAAGAAGATTTTAAAACAAGTTTGTTACTAATTTTTATGCCCAGTTCTTAATAATCCATTTTCAATCTAAATTTTGTATTTAAGATTAACACTTGTAACTTTAATTGCACAAGTCACTACTTAAAATGTATTGTAAAAAAGTTATTCTGTATATTTTTATGTATTAATTCTTTCACGAAAAATTTTATGTTTATATTTTATTTTATTTTACTTAAATAATTATATCATAATTTGCTGAATATTCTGCATGAAGATATATTTTATATGATAAGTTGTGAAATATATATGCATTCTGATATAAAATTTATGATTTTTCAGAAAAAGAAGACAACAATTGAAATTTTAGAGGATCTTGATTCAGTAAGTATTATTTTACTACTATGTATACATGTAATATTATATATAAAATAGCTTTATGTAATTCTTTTTCTTATTATAGCAAATCAAAGAGATTCAACAGTATGGACAAACTACAGAACAAAGACATAAGAAGATAGTGGGAACTATCATCATTTATGGAGTTGTTCTTTATGTCATGATAGCATTCATCTTTTATTTCTGCTTCTTTCCAGCTTCATTATATGATCAACTTTTTTATATAACACCATTACTACTTTTTCCAATTTTGTAAGTTGTTAAATCTAATTATGAGTTATTCTTATTTAATATAAAGAAAATTTTATTTAATAATCAAACATTTTTCTTTTTTTTAGAATACTTTTAACGAAGAAAATGGTTTCATGGTACTATAATCGTAAAATTACTCATAATCAGGAAAAACTATCTACAATTATATCCGAGAAAAAGAAGATATTAAATGAAGTTACTGAAACAGAAACATATAAAAAAGCTAAAGAAATATTATTAAAATTTGCACCAGATGAATTAAACATGACACCCGTGAGTAGACATACATTATTGTTATAATTATTTAAATATCAGCTGAATCATGTTTGAACTCAATCATAAATTAACTTAATCAAGTATGATAATGCTAAATAATAAGTAAAGTTCTTAAAAATAAGTTAAAAATATATAATTTATACATGAATATATAATTTTAAATCTTATTTTGTGTTATATATCTTTTTTGTGTAAATTTTATGTTTATTTTATACTTATTTTTATCTTTTTTTTTTTTACAGTTAACTCCAAAGGTTTGTGCTTATAAAAATTTTTATTATATATGAACAGATGTATAAAAGTAAGAGTAAAACAAGATGACAATTGCAAAAGATAGTTTTATTAAAAAAAAATATATATATATATATATATTATTTATATGCAAATATATATAATAATATGTAAGATATAAAAAAGATATGAAATTAATAATTCTGTTTTTAGTTTCCTCAAAAGTTGTCAATGCCCACTGAAACACCTCGACGTCCTACGCCACACCCTGTAATATCTCCTCAGTCTGGTACTGCAGAACTGAGAAGAAGAACTATAGCAGTTCACAATCCACAATTTGCTGTAGCAGCCCCTGGTGTAATGACTCCTAACATTAGATCAATTAATCAGTCTCTAAATGCTCCTTTCCCATCTAGTGGTAGAATAATTAATCCTGCTGCCATAGGTTTTCGTAAGTAAATATGCAATATGTAATTATTTTCAAAACTTGTACTTATATGTGTTTTAAGGTATATTTTATATGAACTTGTTAATTATAAAGAATTAATTAACAATTGCATTTATGATTTTAGGATCACCATTACCACGACCTGTGTTGCCACAACAAAGGACTGTGATTGATCGTTTAGTGGATTATTTAGTAGGTGATGGTCCTTCAAATCGCTATGCTTTAATTTGTCGGCAATGTGAATCACATAATGGAATGGCTTTGAAAGAAGAGTTTGAATATTTTGGTTAGTAAAATGCTTCTTTTCAATAGAGATTTTCTTTATAAAACATATTTGGATCGACAATATATTACTAAAAAATTATGTATATTTTTTCAGCGTTCAGATGTTGTTACTGTGGTTTTTGGAATCCTGCAAGAAAACAAAAACCTTTTGCGCCAAAATTAGATTTTGATAATTCTGCTATAACTTCGAATACATCCGAAGATACTTCTAACAATGATGACGAACCACTGAAAATTACTGAATTAGAATCATGTACACAATCAGATACAGGTATGATATTTCTATATTTAGATGAGAGAGATTTTATTTTATTATATTTATTATCATTTTGATGTAAATTGTAAACAATATATATATATATATACATTATAAATTAGTGTAAATATAGTATTCATTTTTTTATTTTATAGATTCGGATATTGAAGTAGTTGAAAGACCAGGCGAAACGTCTGATACTCCAGAATTAGAATCTACAGAATTATTAAATGAGAAGGAATCTGATAAGATAGAGACGTGACGCAGCACTCATAATTTTTAGAATTGAATAATAATACCTGAGGGTAAAAAAAGATGTTTGTAAATCAGAGTTTCAAGTAAGTTCAAATTTAATACAGAAAAAGAAGATAGAGAATGTGAATAAACAAAAAAAAAGAAACATAAATGGTTAAAGTAAAATAAATTGTAAAATAATACATAATAACATAGAAGAAAAACCCAAGATTAATCTTCTTATGTTATAATTGTAATTGTCAATTGAAATATTGCTTTATTATATATTGGAAATTGTTGCTATAATATAGAAATAGCATAACTATTATATGATTATTGGTGACATATATATATAGCTAAACATACAAAATTTTTCTGCATTATTAATACAAATATAATTTATATAATATGAAACTTATATATTTGCTAGAAAATATTTGTGGAAATTTGCACGAAAATTTTATTATAAAGGAAATAAAAAATCATACTAAATTTTTATTTGTTTAGCTTTATTAATTGATAAATACAAAAATATGAAGAGCAAAAAATATTGATTATAAATTATTATAATCAATTTATTTATAATATTAATTTGTGGCATAATTTAATTAAATGCGGCAAAATACTTGAACATTATGAATGCAAACAAGTTCATGTTGCACACCAATTAATAATATATTTTTTATAAGACTGTCTATCTTGTCTGCAGATTATTTATTATAAGTTACAACTTTCTTGATAAAATACAGTAATCTTAAGCTTTGCTTTTTATAGTGTATATTATAATTAGGTATTGCTTTATTAAGAAAAAAAGCTTGTATATTTTAATGTATTAATCACATTCAACTAATTTTCAATTTGAGTAGTTTTTAAATATAAAGTTATTACGAAACATATATAAGTTTTGTTATAGTTTAGAAGTAGAATTTTGTATAGATGCATTATTTTTTTTGGAAAAAAGCATGAGAAAAAATGCATTTTATAATAGCAATGTCTCTTTGTATGAAAAATATTTAATACAAATAGTTACTAAATTAAATATAATATTGTGATAAAATAAATCCATTTCTAATGTATTATTTGTTATATCAAACTATGGTGATTACAATTTACTGTGATTATAGATAGACTAATAAAATTTGTAGTTATATATATATATATATATATATATATATATATATATATATATATTATAATCAGTTTAAATTCAATCTTAACATAACTAGTGAGCTGTAAAGTTACAAGTGTGACTGTCTCTTATTGTATTATATTTTTTTGCTTTCTAGTAAAGAATTGCGTACTGTTATTTTGAGCATTATTTAAAACATTTTAGAATTTTGATGTAAACATGAAAGATATTGTATATATGAAAGATACTTAAATAATTAGAAGTTGTTAGTACGCTTATAATACAATTAGTAGTACAATTATTATAATACAAATTTAGACGAAATTGATATTTTCTGTTTTAATGTATCTTATATCCATATAACTATATTACGTATACATAATAATTTTACTTTATGTTTATTATGTGTTTTAATATAGATGTAGATATATTTTCATTGATTTTACTTCTGGAAAACTAATTTTTTACTTATAATTGCTTGTAAAAATGTAATATCAAAAATTACTGATTTTTGTCTAAGTAATCTGAAAATAGATATTTGAATTTTCCCGCTTTTTTTGACAGTACAAAATGATTGGCTAACATGTTTTTTTTATGTTGCTAGTCAATATCCGGATATCCGGAGCAGGTTTCCGCTATTTCGCTTCGTGTATCGTATGTGATCGACGAGTATTTAGTTCGAAAAAAATGTATTATTTTTTAATAACTTCTCATCTAGTCTCTAAAAATTATATAAGCTTTTCTCATCATTTTTGAAGTATTAAAATAGAAGGGTAAAGGTAAATGGTATTGATTTATTTACACTTACATATATCTTAACTTGTATCGCGCGCATGCGCGAAGTAGCAGTTCCGATTCGACAGAAGTATCAAGGTGCATTCGCAATAATCGCGTAAGCAGCGATGTGAATCAACCGTAGTTTAGGTTGTAAAAAATAATACTCGTTCGTCGGCGGAGCATCGTATGAGGTAAAAATCCAACGATTTTTCCAGCATCGCTGCGTAATCCTCGAAAAAACGTTCGTATATCGCTTGATCAGATATTAATCTGCATATTTGTACTAATAGTATCGCTCGATGCGCCTTATTGTCATTAATATCGACGCGAGTTGCATCGGGCCTGAACGACAAACCTTGTCTCCGCGAATTTTTCTTTCGTGCACGCAATAGTGTAGAATTTTCCGACAAAATCAGTTCGATTACGATTTTTAGCGACAACGTGACATCCGTAATCAATAATCGATGAGCTGCAATATATCGTAATAGTTGCGTGAAAATTATATTATTAGAACAAACTATTTTTCGAGTAGTTTTATCGCGCGGACGCCATAATTCTTTACCAGTCATTTCTATGATAATATTCATGCGAAAAATTCACACTTATCATCGCGTGGGTCGTTCATTTAAGTTTGATTGATTATTGCTGTGAAAAGTTGAATATATAACTTGTTTCTGTGTCTTTAATTAATATATTTTTATGACTTTATATAAATATAATATATTTTTTAATATATTTTATAAATAATATACTTATACTTAATATATTTTATGACTATTGAAAATCACTTGGATTACTTGTCTCAGATAATTTATTAAATTAGTACGTGAATAAATCTCAAAGGCTTTGTGTGTTACTAAGATCTAACGCTTCTGTCTGATAAAAATTGTATAATGCATTTATTTTTTCATAGGCCAGTAAACATGCCAGAATTGACGGAACTTGACAAAGCCGCTACTTCGGAGCCTACCAAGGTGGAGTTGGTAGGTATTGGCTCTGCGACTGATTCGGACTCGGATGATACTATACCAGAATTAGAAGATGCGGGCACTCCTGGTACTGTTGGTTTCCCTGGCACGACTGTCACTGGACTTCCCATTGATATGGTATCCAAGGCTAAGCAGAGTCGTGGTGAAAAAAAGGCCAGGAAGCTTATGAGCAAATTAGGATTAAAGCCGGTACATCAATTATTTAAATATTCAATATTCTACCATATATTTTTTTTTAATTCTTTCTGGCGGTCTTTGACATACTTGATTATATTTTTTTTTTTTTTTTTTTTTTACAAGACCAACTTTTTTTATATTTACAGGTGCAAGGAGTCAATAGAGTGACTATTCGCAAATCGAAAAACATTCTGTTTGTCATAAACAAACCAGATGTTTTGAAGAATCCAGCTTCAGACACATATATAGTATTTGGTGAAGCTAAGGTAAGAAATTTAATTTACTGCATTTAACAATAAACATTTATTTACTAAATCTCTTGATTTATGATGATTCCTTGATTTCGCATATTATCAGAAATAAAATGTTGAAAAACCTTGGCAGACTGATATTTAATAATTATTTTATTTGTATTAATCTCGTGTAATATGTACATTTAACACCATAAATAATATTTTCCATAGATTGAAGATCTCAGCCAACAAGCTCAGGTCGCAGCAGCTGAGAAATTCAAGGAACCACCAGTTATACCAGCAACTGAAGCTGGTGGCAGTACTACGGTAAGATATATTTAATTTTATATATATATATAAAACAAGATATATTTATTTTAAAAAAGATACTAAACATAGGTAACGTTATTTAACATTTCTTTATTATGTTATACAAGGTTGTTGCTCCTATACAAGAAGAATCAGAAGAAGAAGTGGATGAAACAGGTGTGGAAGAGAAGGACGTTGATTTGGTTATGTGTCAAGCTAACGTATCACGAGGGAAAGCTATTAAAGCTCTTAAAAATAATCAAAATGACATTGTCAATGCTATTATGGTGAGTTTTAAATATGCGTTTATATTTTACATATTTTAATATTTGTGCATAACCAAATGATGATTATATTCCAAAGGTTTCGCAAATATATTTTTATAATCAGAATAAAAATTATGTTGAATATCTTGGCAGACTGATGCTTTCTATTTTTAAATTATATTTAACAAACACAAGAGAATGAGAATTAATATCTTTCTTTTTATTTCAGGAATTGACAATGTGATGAAATTGCTTAGAAGTAGGTGCTGCGAGTAACTGACGGTCCCCGAGATCATAATTTTATCACACGCACATCATCAGAGAAAACATCATTCTTCCTTTTATTCAGTTGAAAAAGTAAAGGTGATATCGAGAAAACTGGATACACTCGTAATTATCCTAAGAAATTTAATTCACATGTATATACAAAATTCATGTAAAAGAAAATAAAATAAACACATGTCACTATATAACTGGATAGTCCAGTTATGACAAACTGCCATAGAAGTTTTATGGGAGTATGCTAAGCAGATTGCACATTATATATATATATATATATATAAATATATATTGTATTGCTTGGTATCTCTATAAAATTGGCTAGTAATTTATATAATATAATTATGTGTATATATATATTTACACATAATTATGAGTATATGTGCCAGTTCATGTATAATATATTATAACTATATTATAGCGCATCTTTGTATGAAAAAATATTGTAAAATATGATAATGTTCCATAATTGATAATCAAGTTTGAAAATATGTGATAATAGAGAAATCATCTGTTGATATATCGATTCTAAAGTTAGCATAAATCAGGTAACTGGCATATATATCTTCAATGCGATGGCGAATGGATAATCAAATAAGAAAAAAATTAATATTTTTCTAAGAATTTCTATTGTAAAATTATAAATGTATAAAAGAAGGTTATCATTTCAGGCGTGCCTTCTAGCAAATTAATATGAATAGTTGCCACGAGATGGCAGCACAAGTAGCGTTTTAGACTCCATGTCAGAAAATGGCGCGTAGAAGAGATTGACTCGCAGTCCATGGAGATCTTGAATTCGAATCTGCATCCACGCTCCAGATATCTCTTGAAAGGTAAATTTTTGTACATACTTTAATAAGATGTGTGGAATATAATAGATTAAGAGCAAACACGACGTAAAATGTTAAAAATTCGTATTGAAAACCTAATGAAACTCTGCTTAAAAAACACTTATTGTCAGTATTTTATGCAATATATAATAACATTACGTTATATTTTTCTAATTTAGACTTAAGAGAGAAAAAGAAAGAAATATATGTTACTATTTATAATAGATTCTAATTTGACATCAATATACACATTCTAATGATAATAAAAGATATTATAATTGTATATAATTAAAACAAAAAATATGTATATTTCTAGAAAGATTTTTATATTATTTAGAATTTATTTTGTTTCGAATTTTATATTAATCAATACTTTTTCGTGGTAAATTCTTAATATATTTTATAAATATCTTGAATATTTTGATCGATAGATATAGTATGCGTATCTTGCAGATATCCTGCGGTACTCTAATGTGATCGTGAAAAAAACGCGGTTAGGGTGATGATCCCTTGCT